GTTATCTATTGGCCGATTCCCCATCACGGTATGTTGCTTGATTCAATATTTATCCACATTGATCCACATTTATTCGTATGTTGGTAGATTATGTCAGCCCATTTACAATATTTGGATCCATTTGGTTCGTTAAATCCAAATGTACGGTACTATATACTATATGCTACAGGTTGATAGGCCATATCAACCTATGTTCCTTCATTTTACTTGATGACATCCCCATGTTCGACTCCATAAGAAAAACGGGATCAAATTCAACCAGAGCTTAGAGATGATTTTGGTAGCTTCTATACCTATCAACATTTTTTGCTCCACGTTAAGTCCCCAAACAAAATCCATCCAAAAACATCCGCATTTTTCTCATTATACCCTCTGGTAAACTAACATAGCTATGGAAAATCACCATCTTCATAGGTAAATCATGGTAAATCATGGTAAATCAACTATAAATGAACCATTTTCCATAGCAAAGTTTACCTCTCAGGGTAACTTCACCAGGCCGCATTGGGCAGGACTTTCAGGATGTCCACCGGCAGCCCGAAGAGCAGAAACTCCCCGATGGCCACGACGAAGCCGTTAAAGCGACTCTTGACCGAACGCTTGGCGCTGAAAATCGTCTGGGAGAAGATGTAGGACCCGGTGGCACCACACACAAAGCCTGGATTCGCGACGGATTTCTAGGGATTTTCTGTGGATTTCCATAGGCTTCTAGGGATTTTCTGTGGATGTCTATTGGATTTCTATTCGGTTTGTGGGATGATCATGATGATCCGGGAGCTTTTCGCCTGGCTTTTGCCATAAAACTCCATGGGTTTGAAGTTGTTTACAGTAAACATCAAGAGGAACCCGAGGGTTTTTGCCTTGTCGTCATCTATCCGGGGGGGGGCCCTGTGATCTTTCCTTGGTCCAAATCTGAGATCCATGGATTGAATCCCTGCTCCAAATGGGATAGCCAAGTCTTTCGCTGTCCCGAAAAAAATCACACCCCCAAAAAAAAAAAAAAACACATCCATTCACCATCATTCACCTACATTTTTCTACGATTTATCCACATTCCAGTTAACATCAGTTAACCCAGGCCAGCTGAGCAGCTACTGCAGAGGTTGCCCCAACCAATGGCGGTCAGTTCTTTGTTGTAGTCCAGCTTGCGTGTGGGCAGCTCTGCCTGGATGGCTGCCACGTCAAGGGAGGAGCCAAAAGTGACCTGGGTAGGGGCCGGGAGTGGCCGGGAGTGCAAGAAGAGCTCCCACTTCTTGCATGGAAAAAATGACTAAACATGTTACAAGGTGGTGCCCCATAGTTAGCTAAGTTGGTTTATAACTCCCATAACTATGGTTTATGGTAGATATAACTATAGTTATATAATGGGGTTTATAAACCAACTTATAACTGGGGGGCACCATCCTGTATAATTCCATCTAATTCCTATCTTTTCAGGGGTGAAAAAATCAAACATCTTTGAAACCACTACGTTTAAACGTAGTGACAATGATGATGAGGCCAATCAAGTTGGCAATCTGCCGGGGCAGCATGCCCCACTGCACTTCGTGGTAATTCACGATCTGCCAGATCTCACCAATTCCCGAGCTGCCCCGGGGGTATGGCACCAAGCCCCTAGCACGGCAGTCCTCTAGGGACAAGCCCGCAGCGTCTGCGCAAACAAAGAAAACAATGGGGAGCAGGAGCAGCGTGAGCGGCATCGCCAGAAAATGCTTCACCTGAATCTCGAGTGAGAGATAACACCAAACATCCCTCAAACCACTGCCACATGCTGTTGATCCAACCCCCCCAAAAAAAAGAGAGCTCGTCACTGTGAGCGTGCGTTTTTTTCTGGGTTTTCACACTTCTTTCTAAGGTTTAACTAGGTTTTGTGTTTTAATAAGAAGATACAAAACAAATAACATTAATTGTTGAAGATAATCATTTAACTGAATTGTTTTTTCAACTGCTTATTGCTGGGTATGAACCTTAAATAAAGTTTCAAGCAGGTATTATAACAGAAATCATAATGATTTCAATTTTAAGTAGTCATCTACTTTATTTATCATCTTAAAAGTTGGGGGTTCTTCTTTATTACTTGTATAGTAGTCAGTGGATGCTTTAACAGTTAGTTATTTTATTCTCTTGCTATTGTTGAAACTTTTGAGGTCGTGATTTAAAACATTAATTGTTTTTTTAACTAAAGCGTAGAAGGTCTTGATATGGTGATTTCTTTTGGGTGGGTCATACTTATACACTGATGCATTTTATAACTTGGATACTGAACTCTATAAATACGCTTTCCATTTCCTGAATGGATACGCCTTTTGTGTAAAAATCATTTCTACCTAGATTTTCAACAATCCTTTCAACTGTCAATCTCGTTCTGGTTTTCTCATTCACAATTGTATCCTGGTAAAAGTCAGTAAGGGCATTTACCCAACACATATTCTCTATTCAATGCCCTTTCTCAATTGCTTTCTTAATGGTTGATGCTTCCATTTTTAAAGGTGTATGTATATATATATATAGATAATGATGGTATATTTATACATTAAAAGCATCAGTTAAATTTTCATTAAGTATAATTTATATTATTTTTTTCACCATTCTTATTGACTAATTCTACTGATATCTTAATACAATGAAACATATTATCTTGGTACTACATTTGTAAGGTTTTGATTAATTCATCAAATTCTGCATCATTCTTTAAACGAGCCATTGCGTTAGTAAATCTTGGATTTATCTGTCCCTCATATTGGTCTTCTAAAATTTCAAACCTAAAAATTATGTGTCCTATAATGTCACTTGGAAAACTAGGCACAGTGATTGTAGCAGTTCAAATATCAAAACTATCAATGTAATAAGGTTAGTTAAGGTATTTAAAAAATTGTTTTGTTTGTTTATTCACTGGCTTTCTGAGGGTGAAGACTTCAAAATTGATAAAGTATGTATGTTTCTGGTTCTTTATCTGAGTTTCTTCTATTTTTTTTCAATTGTTTTTGTTCCTTAAACTTCTGTACCGTACGTCTATTTTTTTTCAAAAGTTTTATCATAAATTTTTTTATTATCAGAAGTTTAATTTTTTTATGTAGTATTCTGCTGTTGCTACATTTGATATTTTCCTTTCAGTGTATAGTTCTATAAATTCATAAAGTCTTTTTTTGTTGCTTTTGTGGTTTTGTCATTAATCCTTTTGCCTTTTAGCTCCTTAAGTTCTGATATATTCCTCACTAAAAACTTGTTCATATTGAAATAATTTATAAACATATTTCTTAAAAAAATATTTGTTCAAGAAATATGTTTAATGAAAATTGCTAGGTTTTTTGAAGATGTTCAAATCCAGTTTTGCAAAATCAAATGAGCGGAGCGCATACAGAAAACATAAAACATCATAAAACTAATAATGCATTCTAATTATTAGTTTTATGGTACTATCATTACCATTATTGAATGTATAGGCCATTCATTCAAACTATATATATACACCAAATGTTTATGCTTCTTCATATAGAGAGCTCATCACGGTGACCTTGGGCACCAACGCTAATGAGAGAATGTTCACACTTCTTGGCGGAGGCAAAAGTTGCCAAAATCTCGAGAAAAACAAAAAACTGCAAACCCCATGTCTGGAGGCTTTGAGGAGATGCCCCACGGGGTCTGTAGTTTTTTCTGGTTTTTTCCATTGTTTTTCCCGAGAGCGTCTGAGCGCAGGGTTCTTCTAATAGTGGGGGTCTGTAAAACATCTTCTCATCTTCACATCTTCTCATCTTCACATCTTCTCATCTTCACATCTTCTCATCTTCACATCTTCTCATCTTCACACCTTCTCATCTTCACATCTTCTCCTCATCCCTCATCTTCTCATCTTCACATCTTCACATCTTCTCATCTTCACACCTTCTCATCTTCACATCTTCTCATCTTCACATCTTCTCATCTTCACATCTTCCCATCTTCACATCTTCTCATCTTCACATCTTCTCATCTTCACATCTTCTCACATCTTCTCACATCTTCTCACATCTTCTCACATCTTCTCACATCTTCTCACATCTTCTCACATCTTCTCACATCTTCTCACACCTCCACACATCTTCTCACATCTTCTCACATCTTCTCACATCTTCTCACATCTTCTCACATCTTCTCACATCTTCTCACATCTTCTCACACCTCCACTCACATCTTCTCACACCTCCACTCACATCTTCTCACACCTCCACTCACATCTTCTCACATCTTCTCACATCTTCTCACACCTCCACTCACATCTTCTCACATCTTCTCACATCTTCTCACATCTTCTCACATCTTCTCATCTTCACATCTTCACATCTTCTCCTCTTGCCCTCTTGCCCTCTTGCCCTCTTGCCCTCTCCTTCTTTTCTATTTCTCTTTTGAAGGCGGGAGCAGGGGCAGTGCCAACGAGACGGCACGAAACGCAACCCTTTCGCACGAAATGAGGGTCGATCGTCAAAAACTGCGGTAAAATTGCGATTTGACTTGTCCCGGAGCAACCCTTTCGCACGAAATGAGGGTCGATCGTGAAAAACTGAGGTAAAATTGCGATTTTACTTGTGCCGGAGCAACCCTTTCGCACGAAATGAGGGTCGATCGTGAAAAACTGAGGTAAAATTGCGATTTTACTTGTCCCGGAGCAACCCTTTCGCACGAAATGATGGTCGATCGGCAAAAACTGAGGTAAAATTGCGATTTTACTTGCCCCCGAGCAACCTTTTCGCACGAAATGAGGGTCGATCGTGAAAAACTGAAGTAAAATTGCGATTTTACTTGTCCCGGAGCAACCCTTTCGCACGAAATGAGGGTCGATCGTGAAAAACTGAGGTAAAATTGCGATTTTTCTTGTGCCGGAGCAACCCTTTCGCACGAAATGAGGGTCGATCGGCAAAAACTGAGGTAAAATTGCGATTTTACTTGTGCCGGACTGTAAAAGCCCGTCTGTGTAAAAGCTTCTGTGTGTAAAAGCGTCTGTGTGTGTAAAAGCCTCTGTTTGTAAAAGCGTCTGTGTGTAAAAGCGTCTGTGTGTCAAAGCGTTTGTGTGTAAAAGCGTCTGTGTGTAAAAGTGTTTGTGTGTAAAAGTGTTTGTGTAAAAGTGTTTGTGTGTAAAAGCCTCTGTGTGTAAATGTGTTTGTGTGTCAAAGTGTCTGTGTGTAAAAAGCGTCTGTGTGTAAAAAGCGTCTGTGTGTAAAAGCGTCTGTGTGTAAAAGCGTCTGTGTGTAAAAGGGTCTATGTGTAAAAAGCGTCTGTGTGTAAAAGCTTCTGTGTGTAAAAGCCCCTGTGTGTAAAAAGCGTCTGTGTGTAAAAGCGTCTGTGTGTAAAAGCGTCTGTGTGTAAAAGCGTCTGTGTGTAAAAGCTTCTGTGTGTAAAAGCGTCTGTGTATGTAAAAGTCTCTGTGTGTAAAAGTGTTTGGGTGTAAAAGTCTCTGTATGCAAAATCGTCTGTGTGTAAAAGTCTCTGTGTGTAAAAGTGTTTGGGTGTAAAAGTCTCTGTGTGCAAAATCGTCTGTGTGTAAAAGCGTCTGTGTGTAAAAGTCTCTGTGTGTAAAAGTCTCTGTGTGTAAAAGTCTCTGTGTGCAAAAGCGTCTGTGTGTAAAAGCGTCTGTGTGTAAAAGGCTCTGTGTGTAAAAGCGTCTGTGTGTAAAAGCGTCTGTGTGTAAAAGAGCCTATGTGTAAAAAGCGTCTGTGTGTAAAAGCGTCTGTGTGTAAAAGCGTCTGTGTGTAAAAGAGCCTGTGTGTAAAAAGCGTTTCTCCATACTAACAACAGAAGACTCTGCTCCTCTACGCTCTCGGGCCATCCGTCGTCTAGTTTTGTTGTTGTTTTCCTTTTTCTCCGTCGGCCTGTCGTTGAAGTCTGTCTGACTGAGGAGAAGACGGTGGGCAACGGCCGGGGCGGCGGAGCCGGCGCCTGCCAGAACACGACCAATCAGCCGAAGGCAAGGAGTGATTGGGGGCCTCTGCCTCTGGGAAAGCTTCTTGTTCTTCTGCGGCTTTTTTGCTTTTCTCCGCCTTGGTGATGCCGTGCCTACTGTATGTAGTTCGTCAAGCTCTCGCCCAACTTTTCTTTTTTCGTGTTTCCTTTGCTTTCTTGCTTTCTTTCTTTCTTTCTTCCTTCCTTTCTTTCGTTCTTTCTTTCTTTCTGTCTTGGGGGCGCAGCTGAGCTCTGGGCTTTCCTTTTTCGGTCTTTCTCGAGAGCCGCGACCCGGGCCAGGCGGACCTCGCGTTTGCGTCGGGGACGTGTCGTGCGTCTCGAGTTCTCCGCGCCTGCGGGTCGTTGCTCTCTTTTTCTTCTCGTCGTTTTTGGCGCCTTTTCTTGTTTCTTTCCTTCTGTGCCTCTTCCTTTTTTTTGCGCTCCGCCTGCCGCGGCGTCGTGCTGGCTGGCTGCGCTCACGACAGGACAGTTTCTGCCGCGGGCCGAGCCTCGGCCTTTTTCTCATTGTACAGCCCCTAATCGCTCATAAACATGCTTATGCCAAATCCCTCGTTTGTTCAATTTTGAAGGGTGCCCCAAACAGTGGTATTGAACCCCTTTTCGTAACAGTTTGGGGCACCCAAATTTTCAAACACCAAACCCAAAAACAAAAAACATAGAACACATTTAAAGAAGTGCAAAGGGACCATGTTGGGCCAATCTCCACCCAGGTTTAAGGTGTTCTTGGTTGAAATAGGGATTGGTATTGCTTCATGTTCATGGCTGCTGTGACTGCAGCTATCTATCCATTTTGGATCTCTGCCTTGTTTCTGTCCTACATGTTTTTGCAGTCGGATCTTTTACCGGCCCACAAATTCGACATTTTTGTTGCATATCATCTTAAACCTCTTGGGGTGGGGGTTGGGTGGGGTGGGGTGGGGCATGTTAACGTTCGCTTGCACTTGCGTCATGAAGTTGATGCTACGTCACGCATGGGGTTGGGGTTGGGTGGGGTGGGTTGGGGCATGCTAACGTTCGCTTGCACTTCCGTCATGAAGTTGATGCTACGTCACGCATGGGGTTGGGGTTGGTTGGGGTGGGTTGGGGCATGTTAACGTTCGCTTGCACTTGCGTCATGAAGTTGATGCTACGTCACGCATGGGGTTGGGGTTGGGTGGGGTGGGGTGGGGCATGTTAACGTTCGCTTGCACTTGCGTCATGAAGTTGATGCTACGTCACGCATTGGGTTGGGGTTGGGTGGGGTGGGGCATGTTAACGTTCGCTTGCACTTGCGTCATGAAGTTGATGCTACGTCACGCATGGGGTTGGGGTTGGGTGGGGTGGGGTGGGGCATGTTAACGTTCGCTTGCCACTTGCGTCATTGAAGTTGATGCTACGTACGGATGGGGTTGGGGTTGGGTGGGGTGGGGTGGGGCATGTCAACGTTCGCTTGCACTTAAACTCAACTCTGCAGACCTGCTGGCCAAACCAGTCCTCTATCTGGTAAAAGCTGTGAGCTGAAAAAAGGAAAACCGAACTCGGAACGTTTTTGACCACAAAATGCTGGAAGGGTTGACGAAAGCATCTTGCGATGAATTTTTTTAAGAAACTTTTTTGGACCCAGAATGTGCGTTTGGCTAGCACGAGAACGACGTTTTTGAGAAATCATGGGACGGTGAAAGATCCGTCGGGATGTTTTTCTCTCTTTCTTTCTATGTTCATTTTTCTCAGTATATCGTTTTTTATTTATCTATCCTTTTTTGAATTTATCTATCTACCTACCTATTATTGTTTTCTAGCTTCCTATCATCGTGTCCACCTATCTATGTGTGTTCCTTTCTATCTATTTCTCTATCTACCTCTCCATCTATCTTTGTTTGGATTTGTCAATCTATCAGCCTTTCAATGTCTTTCAGTTTGTCCATTAATCTGTCTCTTTAACTGTATATTTACTGTTCTATCGTTCTATCGTTCTATGTTCCTCTATGTTTGTCTACCTATCTTTTATTCTACCTATTGTTCTATATTTCTCTACGTTTGCCTATCTATATTTTTGTCTACCGGTTGTTTTGTTCAACCTTTCCATGTTTGACATGTTCTATTTTTTTTGCTGGTTGTTGCCCTTCGTTATCTCTTCATGTCTTTTACCACCTATCATGTTCATGATCCCTCATGATCTATCTATCTACCAGCTATCTATCGATCTATCGACCTTTCTACCTGTACTTCTTGCAATATCTCTCTTCTATCCAGTGTTCCACCAATCAAAAGATATTTTGACATCTTTCGTTTATCTAATCATATTCTCCTATTTTTCTCTCTTTCTGTCTATGTATCTTTCTTTCTTTCCATCCATCTCTCTCTCTCTCTCTCTATGTGATTGTCTAATTTCCTTTCTCTTAATCTATGTATCAATTTACCTAATCTATCTGGTTACAACATGTAGTCAAGGTAAAAGATGTTAGTTTGACAAACACAAGCGAGATGAGATGCTACTTATACACGTTCAACACAATAAACAAGGTAACATTTTACTTAGACAAAATATTTCATTGTCATATCTTACTTGGACATTCAATATCGTCCAACAAAGTTTGTGCCTACACATGCAATAATGCTTAGACATTATTGGAACTTGAAACTATTAAATTTCACGAGCTCCTGGGATTTTGTGATTTTTAGGGAATATTGGATATCAAGGTCAAGATGCAATATTTGGTGCAGTGTACGCGCACAAGGGTGGCACCAAAAAACTTAAGCGTCATGGTTTGCACGGGTTTGCACTGGATCAGCCTTCCATAAATGGAAGTGGCCCAATTAATCGTTCAGAAAAAATGAAACGGTCGGAAACGGTCGGAAACAGTCGGAAACGGTCGGAAACGGTCGGAAACATGATCAGGCCAAAACTTGTTCAACCCGCATTTTTTTTTAAATAAGCATTTCCGCGCAACGCCGTTTTTTTTTTGAAGGTCCAAAGGTGTCCAAGGGGAAACGGTTGGAAACAGTCGGAGATCGCACCTTCGCTCGGCAAAAAAGACATGTTTTTACATAATTTTCAAACATGTTTCATGAACATATGCTACAAAACAACTACTTTTTTGCCGAGCGAAGGTGCGATCTCCGACTGTTTCCAACCGTTTCCCCTTGGACACCTTTGGACCTTCAAAAAAAAAACTGCGTTGCGCGGAAATGTTCTTTTTAAGAAATGCGGGTTGGACAAGTTTTGGCCTGATCATGTTTCCGACTGTTTCCGACCGTTTCCGACCGTTTCCGACCGTTTCATTTTTTCTGAACGATTAATTGGACCAATTCCATTTATGGAAGGCTGATCCAGTGCAAACCCGTGCAAACCATGACGCTTAAGTTTTTTGGTGCCACCCTTGTGCGCGTACACTGCACCAAATATTGCATCTTGACCTTGATATCCAATATTCCCTAAAAATCACAAAATCCCAGGAGCTCGCGAAATTTAATACTTGAAAACAAAAAACACAAGACATATGTTATATACCAAAAACATTCTCTCTTGCAATATTACTTAGACACCTCCCAAAGTAACATAACATAGCACCAGAAAAACAGAACACTCCAAAAACAATATGTTAAAACGCCAGGGGAAAAACATAAAATTGACTTAAATCAATTTTCAGAATTAATTTAAGTTTAACTTGTGGTTAGACCAAAAAATAAAAAACAACTAATAGCCAGAGTTTTGACTATTGACTATAGTCAGCAAATTGTCTAATCTGGTCTTAGAGGTGTGCGGGGACCCAGTGTTGTACTGGCGATGACCAATCTGCAAGGTGGGCTTTGCTGGAAGGAAAGCCAACCCTTGCCAAGATGTTCACCCTTCCATCATGGTTTCTGGAATCACATTCCAAAATTGCCATAAATAAATCGACATCTGGAAGTTTTCTAGAGGTTTTTGAATACCTTTCCGCAAAAACGGTGGCGTTCGAAGATCCACCAGCGGTCGAGAGTTTTTCCCCGGCTATCAGCGCCTCGGGCGTGGAATAGAGATCCTCAGGATTGGCGTCTTCGTTGTTCACGCCATCCTCTTCACCACCTGCAACATGGCGATTTTGATATTTGATGAAATGACATGTCATCATGAGAAACCGACTGGAAACCTTTTTCAAAGAGAGCTTTTTCAGTGCTATCCACATGTGGCTTACGTCCTCAATACCGCCAGCATTACTACCAAGTAGCTCCGAGTCCAACGGTCCAACTTTGCCTTGAAACCCCCCAAAAAATAACAACAGCATTCTCCAATTCTTTCACCAATTTCTGGCATTCCCCTCATCTAATTTCGGGGGTGACCACATTTTCAGGTGACCTGTGATTCCCAGCTCCATTTCCAAGCCGCAGTTCACCTGTGCCATGTGCCATGGGGCCGATCCAGGTCACAAGTGGAATCGTTTCACGTCTCAAATGTTGTCATTGAAACAATTTGAGACTTAAAGACTTAGAGATTCTATTGATTTTTTCAGGAGTTGATATCAAGATCCCAAGATCCAATCAACTGTGCCTTGGCCATCCTCTCCAAATATTTCACGCAAATCTCCTTGGCAGGAGTCTCTGGTGGCTTTTCGCATGGTCGTGGGGGAACATCGCTTGTAGAAGCATCAGTTGCTCTTATACTCGGAACTTGCTTTGGAGATGCCACAAGAACACAAACTGTTCGTTTTGCTAAAAACTTCGAACAAAAAACACAAACCTCCATCATTTCATAGCTGGTGGCAAATATCTGCATCAACATCAATTAAGACAATCCCAAACCACCATCCAACCGTCAACCATCAACCGTTTGTCCATGGTTGTTTCACCACAATAGACATGGCCATTTCATGATTTGCCAGACCATGTTTTTTTTTGAGGTTCCCCCAAATTATCACACAATTGCAATTGCCCAGACCATTTCCACGGTTTTCTTGGTTTAAGTTTAATCTCCATGCATTATATTTGGTAACTCCAGTTGTACCTCCCTACAACAACCAACAAAAATCCATCCATTTTCAATCCAAACCACCATTGGTATCCAAAGAAACCATCAATATCATGAAACTATGGACAGATATGGATACCCAAGAGTAACCATGGACAGATATGATCCAACTAATGCGGTTGTGTTTGAAATTGGGGTGTATACCCCCCAAATGCCAATTTAACGGGGACAGTTACGTTTTCATCCGTTGGAACTGGGTACCCCATTTTCAGACCCATCATAATGAAGTTGGCTAGTTCTTTCATGTTATAGCCCACGATAAATGTATATATATATATATATACGTATATGTATCCCATGTACGAATATATCCCGTATAATTTATATCCAATTCATATTTCAGTCTTGAGCATTACTCACAAAAAACACATGAAGAATCCAGAATCCACCCGTCCAAGCCATCGGTTTTTAGTTCACCAAGCTGCGATGTTTTCCTCCAACGGTTCTTCCGAAAGGTCCAACATGTGCGACGAGAAGAGCGGCTCCCCGTGACGCTCAAAGTAGCGCTCGTCCGCCTGACTTGGCGATGATGGGATGGGCCAAACTTGGCCAGTGCATGGGGAAAAACCAGAGATAATCAGGGTTTATGGGGGTGATATCTATAGGGTTTAGGGTTTTAAATGGGGCAAATGATTAGACACAAATTTATAAACTGAGAAACACAACTGAGGGGGTACCACCCTGCGGTTGACAAGTGTAGGTCATATGGAGGTTTCCGTTTTGTCATGGGGCTATCCCCAACTCATCCAGTCATTAGACCATGACTTAGTATGGAAAGCCATGGTGACTTGGGGATCCCCCGTTTTTGGGAAACCTCCATATAACACCCGTTTTAGGAAACCTCCATACGTCACATCCCCAAGATATGGTGAGAATTTATGAGATGATGATTTATTGACAGTCAGTGGTCAACAAGTAGTTAGTTGTTCATCCATGCTATCATTGTTCGTCAACACATGTCAATTGGTTTGAATTCTTCCATTATTTCGTTATATGATTTGTTTGTTGATATGTTTTGCCAATGGAATATTTCTCCCGCGTAACCATATGATATTCATGGCTACTGATCCATGTTCGGATGGGTGTTGAAACACCCTTCATGAAAAAAGCAAGTCATTTGGGGATCGTCCTCCCGATTATAGGGATAGAAATGAACATAGCAAACAACACCAGAAAGTTGTTTCTTGCCATCTGAAAAGAAAAGGGGCCAACACCACCAACGTTTAAACCTCAGTTAGTTTAAATCAGAATTTCACCACCTCAGCCCGCCTCCAACAGGCCATCGAACCAGGGCAGCAGTTTCTTTGCGCAGTGGTCCGTGTGCAGAATCACCGGCACGCCATACTGCTCCGCCACAGCCCGTGCGTGGTAGGCGCCGCTGACGGCGCCAGCGATGGCGGCGTGGAACTCGCTGTTGTCCTGGGAGATGGGATCCCTTGGGAAAGGGGTGAAAACGACGTGGGAACCATGGGTAATAAGTGTTAAATATCTAACAACAATGGTGGTATAATCATAGTTAATAAGGGTGAAATGAGGAATCATAGGAACACTTAGGAACACCTTCTTCCAAGTCCAACTGTTTCAGGATTTCCATTTTTTTGGTGCTTGGCCTCCTTGTTGGCCATGGTTTGCATCGCTAAGACTATGGGCAAAACAGCTGAGTGCGTATCATGTTACCCTTGGCTTTATCATCTCAAATATGTCTCGAATTGGCCTACCAGGGACTCTTCATCTAGCTATTTTTGGGGTGTGCGCAGCCCACCCTTCAAAAAAAAGATAGAGGCTTCACCAAAAGAGGACCAAAGTCCTCTAGATGGGTCAAGAAGAGGTAAATGTGGTAACCCCAATAATCGTCACCATCCCCAAGTCGATTGAAACCATCCCCAAATTTAGCACCGAGGATCTAAGCCCTTGCCTGCGTAGAACTGCGCTCCGCCGGCTGAGAACCTTAGGAATTCAAGAGGGATAACCCTAAAAACAAAGAAAATGGTTGTAAACATGGTGGTAAAACTTGTTCAAGATACAAGATATGTGGCCGACTGGTTTCCAACATATGCAACCAAGAATGAAACCCTGGAGATGGGCAAATCATTGGAAAAACAGTGAACTCTTGCAAGTTTGAAGGGCCATGGCATCTCCCCAAATTGACTCAAATTGATAGCTTATTTTCATGAAGGAATACCCTCCGGTAGTCAAATTCCTATTTACGCGTCCATTTATAGCTGATTTTCCTAGTGCCATTGTTTTTTCTTTACCATCGTCAGTGCTTGAAGGTCATCTACTCAACGGCTACATGTTGGGAAGAGCCATGGAACACGTTCCCCAGGGCACTCCCAGTCATTCCATGACTAGAGTTGCCATCGGTTTGTGGATAAGACCCTTCGCGAACCCTTGAAACGACTTTGGAGATTTCACCCCAACAACCGTCCATCCTCATGCATCCACTGTTTGGTTGATAGGGGTTTCCCTACCCGTTCCAACCCGCACATGGTGATTATCACATATATGCTGCTTGAAACAATTTTGCAAAGTGACATCCCCAGTTGTCCAGTTTGTGATTTTTAGCACCCATGATTGCACGCAGAAACCCATTTGAAAAGAAATGCATCTTCGATTCTCAAGAATTCATGAAATCCAGCATCTTTTTCCATATCACATTCATGAACTTCCCTATCATCTAAAGATTCCAACAACAATAACAATAATAAGACCTAATCTTTCCAAAAATAAGGACATCACAATCAGAATAGTCAACTCATAACTGTCCCGGCAGATTTTGTCGGTTTCCCGAATTTCCCCCTCTGTTTTGGGCACTGGATCATGATGGGCGCGTCCATCTTCCGCGCGGCCTCGATGCAGGCGTTGATGGACGAGGACGAGACGCAGTTCACCGCTGGAATGGCGTAGCCTTGAGGGCGAGGGCGATGGTCGGGGTGGTGGGGTGGCTGGGTTTATTTCTCCATTAGATGCTGGGATAATATAAGCATGGTGGTGAAATGAAGGTTAAATGATGCTGGAATGATGGGAACCTATGACATTGACTTTCCAATTTCCTGGGGTTGGTTGCAGTGAAAATGGACAGGAAACCCTAATGGACGCAACAATACATGATGCCGGTAAATGTTTCTTTAAACAGACCCTATGACAAGTTGGTTTTTAAGGACCCTGGAAGAAAACGAATTGATCAAACTGCAAAACATGGAGATCCTGCACCAAAAAACACTGGGGATTCACAAAAGGATTCACTGGGTGATCTCGTTGAGCCTGTGGTGCTGACGTGAATGTTTCCAAGGCCAGGTGACAGGTCCCTTGTGCACATTGTATAGTGGTCTAACTACCCAACTATGATGTATTCAAAAATCACTCAAATAACGAAACGTTCATATGCGCACATCGCCACCCCCAAATAAAAGAATCACCCCCCTCAATAAAGATAGACCAGTCAGAATTGAACCAGCAAAAATCATGGTATAAACCGAAGCTCTTCCTTTTTTCATTTTTTTTTGCCACCTTTTCCAACTTTTGGATTTCCATCCCATCCCATCGATTCGATTCCCAGGGCACCATTCTCTTTGGCGTGATTCAGCAGATCCACCAAGGCTTGACCCGAAACCTGGGACATGTGAAAACATGTGACATATCTGGATTGTCTAAACATATTTGCTTAATGAAGCCACAATTTGGTACATATCATTTAGCACAAACCTTGTTTGTGGCAAATGAATCTTAACTCTTGATGGGATACACACAGTTATTGATCCCAAAATATGTTCATAAAGCAATCTCTGCAATATCATGGACAAATGTTAGCCCACGGCATCCTATCTAGGTCGTCTAGAATAGCTATGGTAAGGTCTCTGCAAAGATTGTTATGGACACATGCTTTGCATCCTAAGAATTCTTTTGGTGTAGATCATCCAGGGTGCGATTTCGGCAAAACCTATGGGGGTTGGCCAGCGCTTGGGATTTCACCCGACAGAGTTTTGAACATCAAAACTGGCCATCTCACCATCCAGCCTGTTAAAAAGACACGGCTCAACAGTACTTGGCCCCACACTTAAAACTTTTTTTGGAAAACACGACATATTTGCCATGAAAGACCCTAGTGACAGCAGAACGGAATTATTCTATGGGATTGTGTAGCGGACATTTGGGGGGTACTTAGTACTGACTCAAACCCATGACTTGTAGCATATGGCAGCGAATTCCCATTGACATTGCCACAAAATCATTTTCTGTTCCCATCAAAAATGTGAGGCCCATCGAGTAGTTGACCCAAGTAATCTTCATACATAGACAATCAATCTATCAAATGAATGTTGGAATTCCATCCATTTACCCAAACTCATGTGATCTCCCAATTCAACAGCTAGGGTTATCAATGTTTTCCATCCCCAAGAAACAATTGTAGAGTATTGAAGAGATAGGACCAATTCAAGTTTTGTCCAATTGTAGCCAAGTAACATCAACTGATCATTAACATTGCTCCATTCACCGATCCAAAATTAGCTCCTTCCTTAAACTTTTAGCACTTGGAGGTTTGTGCCCCAATGGTTAGCAAAAGGCCCAATGATAACACGGTTGTTTTAAACAAGCACGGATGGTGTTATTGCCTTCTGTGTCGCTGTATGTTATTCAATTGTCCGTTTCAATTTACTTGCTTTCTTCTCACCAATAGTGAAAATTTGTTGAATAACGAGATAAACAGTCACAACGCGCAGCACCTGCAAGCAAAAAAACACAATGAAGAAGCAAAATACGATGATGACGTAACGAACTATGTTTAAGGCACTATGGGTGCCCCAAACCCTTGGGTTTTCCCATTGAGTCCCCATCCAAACCCATCCCCCAATGGCCAGGTCGCAACGCCCGGATGCACGGAGTCAGGCATCTTGGGGAAGGACCCAACCGGGGGGTCACGGCGAGACAGCACTGGGAACCTCAATGGGGGATGGCACTGTGTATGGGGATTTGGTTGCATGGGGGTGAAAGATGATGACGAAGTGTGCATGAAACTGAATGGAAACTGCGTCTTACGTCCAAGAAGGACGCGTCCGAAATGGGTCCGTGCCAACATTGGGTAAAACGGGATGGATTACCATCGAATCTAACCAATCCATGGGTGGCTGGACATGATCACCAAAATCTCAAACATAGGTTTCCCAAATTTGGTGCAGCTATACTTATGGCCAGTTTGGATGCCGTGCAATAAACTTAAACATTCGCAGGCTAGGTTGTTTCAGAATTCATAACAAACAAAAAACACTAAATCAATTTCCACCGAGTCACCTCTTCTCATCCAAACCTTAAGTGCCGGATATGACCCGCGTGGCAAGGATGGACAGGGTATGAGGATGCCATCGAACTTCCACCCACCAAACCCCAAGGATGAAGGACTTTCACCCCATGAAACATATTGAAACGTGAAACGCCCCCTCTACTTGAGCCATGCACATGGCCGTGGGTCAAAACCTTCTCAAGTGTCCTGGAGAACAGAAACCAAGGCAACCGACCAACTGGGAATGTTGCCCGCAAACCAAGACGTATTTAACTAAATCATCAACGTTTATTTTGGTATAACCTGGTGGGGTACACAACTTTTCTTTTGGCCGAACCTCTTTCTTGGCGGCTGCTAGTAACACCTCGTTTTATCGTTGTGAAATCAACCCTCCAGGGGAAGTCAGCAGTGAACGCTTCAATCCCAACAATGAAGAAATCATCCAAATCCCTAGGTTTTCGCTGGATAGTGCCAACCAATCCTTCCACCCCGATTTTGTTGGTCTAAATTTCCCGATTCATCACTTATAAACCACCTGAAATCTTCCGCAGTTTTCTTTCCCCGCGTGGATCTCCACTGCCACGGTACTGGCCGGCTGCGCCAGTCGCGTTGCCCGGCGCTTCTGGCGTTGTGCACGGGTCACGCCACGTGCAGCGGCAGCGGCGGTTGCCGCACCCAGCAGGGTTTGGGTGAAGCCATGGCTACCCGCAGCCTGTTGGATCTTTGACCAGCGGGATGGGATTGGCGTACTGGATATGATGGGTGTGATTTAACCGCACAAGGTGGTGGCGGAAGTTTCAAAGATAGGAAACCTATAGGGGAGGTGAGTTCTTGTGATGCATGGCAGAACGAATCCACTAATGGACCTAAAGGTGGTTGAGGCTCTCTCTCTCTCTCTCTCTCTGTCTCGCTGTCTCTCTTTCTTTCTCCTTCTCTCTGTGTCTGTCTCTATCTCTCTCTCTCTCTATCTCTGCCTCTCTCGTTCTTGCCCTCTCTCTCTGTCTTTATCTATCCGTCTGCCTGTCTATCTGTTTATCAGTCTCTCTGACAATCTGTCTACCTATCTATCTATCTATCTACCTATCTATCTATGTATCAATCAATCAATCAATCAATCTATCTATCTATCTAATCTTGTCTTGTCTGATCTTATCTTATCTCATCTTATCATATCCTTTCTTATCTGGTTTTATCTGGTCTTAAATTATCCATATCTTATCTTATGTCATCTCCTCTTATCCTTTCTTATCTCATCTCATCTTATCCTTTCTTATCTCATCTCATCTTATCCTTTCTTATCTCATCTTATCTTTTCTCATCTTTCCTATTCTCATCTTATCCTTTCTCATCTTTCCTTTTCTTATCTTATCTTATCTTTTCTTATCTTATCTTACTTTTCTTACCTTTTCTTATCTTATCTTACCTTACCTGATCTTTTCATCTATCTATCTATCTATCTATCTATCTGCCTACCTATCTACCAGTCTACCTATCTACCTAGCTAGCTATCTATCCATCCACCTATCCATCCATATATATACATATATATATCTCTCTCTCTCTCTCTCCCTCTCTCTATCTTTATTTCCCTGCACCTATCTAATGATCCATCTACCTATCTGTCTGTCCGTCCGTCCGCCTCTCTGTCTTTCTGTGTGCCCAGCACTAGCACACACACTCTCTCTCTCTCTCTCTCTCCCCCTCCCTCTCCCTCCCTATCTTTCTTTCTTCCAACCTATCTATACATCTATCTATCTCTCTACCTATCTGCCTGTCTATTTATCTACCTGTATCTATCTATTTATTCTTCCGTCCATCCATCTATCTTATCTATCTCTCCCTCACTACCTATCTAGCTCTCTATGAATTTATCCGTCTCTCTGCCAATGTCTCGGAATCTCTGTCTCTGTATTTTTTTTTCTCCCTCTCTCTCTCTCTCTCTCTATCGGTCGTCTGTCTGTCTATCTCTCTATCTCTCTTTATCCCTGTCCTTGTCTCCATCTCCATCTTTTACTCTATCCATCCATCCACCCAGCTGTCTATCTATCTATCCATCCATCCGTCTGCAAAAAAGCAAGTATGTGACAGTATGTGGGACTTCCTTCAAAAGTCGAGGTTGACAGGTTCAAAAAACGAAGGGTTTCTCCAAGACCTCCTCAAAAATGGAAGAGCGCAGCTCCAAAACGAAGAAATTCTGCAAGACATTTTCAAAAATTGGACGTTGGCAACATCAAAAACGAGACTTCCTTCAAAGCTGACGGCCTCGCGCCAATGCGTCTTGCAAATTTACCATCCCGCCTCTCTAAACTACTGCGCCTGCCCCGAAAAAGTGAAGCCAGGTCATACAAAGTGCTGCACCTGTCACGCAAAATCATCTTAGCAAACCTGATGATCTGATGGCCCAAAACGCAACCCCTCTGAAGAAATCTGCGTCCTAACCTCCGAACATGTCTGATGGACATGTCTCTTGTACCGCTCCTGCCACGCGAGATGCATCTTTGCAGATCCTCTCCAAACCCACGCCTGCCATAATTTTTGAAACTGCTGCAAAACGCACACGTTTGGCTCACTTTTGACAAGCTGCAGAATCCATTGCACCTGCCAAGTAAAACGATGCTTGAAGGTCCAAAAGTCTCCTCAACATGGTGCGTTTTTAACATTTTGGCTTGGAAATCTGCTTCGCGCCGCAGCCGCGTCCAGATTGTGATCCGTTCCAAAAGCGCTCCAAGCCTGAGGTGGTTTTTGACAGTTTGACTTGGAAATTTGCTTTGCGCCAGAGGCGCGTGCAATTTTACACCTCTCATCCCCCTAGATGGCCCCGCACCTGCTGCTTTAGCAAGCCTGCTCGCCGACCCGGAGCCACAAAACATGGGAAAAAAACAAATGTTTTGTGACTGTTCTACTTTTTCGCGCGCTTTGATATTCTTTCTACTCACTCCCTCTTCTCTGAGTCTTTTTCTTCCCTGCCTCCCCGCACAGCTGTTGCTGCATCTGTCCACAAGTCTGAAGTTTGACTTTTAAACTTCCTTCGATGATGGGTATGCTTGGTACTTATTAATTTAAGGAAAGCATGCCGGAGGCAAACAACGGCGAGAGTCCCCAATCCCGGAAATCGCATCCCGTATCCCCACCCCAATCATGTGGAAATGGAAGTTCGGATGGTTGGGGTGACTTGCTTGGGGGCTACCAGGATGGGCGACTTCACAACTCTTTAAGGGACACGCACACACACATTTGCATTTTGCAATGACAATTTTTGGTTAATCTTTTCATGGACCTAACCAGCATTTCCTTCAAACACACTATGAGAAACATGCATCTCAAATTCGACAATCGCGCGGTACCGGTTTGGTTGCGACATCATGGTGCCCTTGTTGGGCACTAACAGGTTTTGCAAATGTCACTCAGCGTCTCCCTTGCTGATGCCTTCTTCGCAATTCATTTTGGTGGGTTCAATCTCCGGTTGTACATTTTGACTTGCCAGGCTGTATTTCTCTCATCTACTTTGCAACTTGTAGGGCAAATCATGCAAATCCTGCTAACCCATGGGCACCACGTATTCCCCTGGGACATATCGCCCAGAAATTCCGGAACCAAATGGTTTGCGCCTGTGGTGCAATGTTTGGTGATGCCTGGGCAGAAGAGAACAGATCGGCAAACTTCATAATGACAAAATTTCTCAACCCATCCGTGCCCCAACTTTGGAACCAAGAGCAAATCAAAGATGCATGCTTGCAATGCATGCTTGCAATGCTGTTTGTCATATTAGGCCGGGAATTGTGAAATAATTGCTTTCTTGCTTTCCAGAATGTTGACATTTCCTGTCAAATATGCCATCAACCACTGAGCCTTGCCTGAAACACTGCCGGTGTGACGGGCGTGGCCGGCTGCACCGACAGAGGCGCCACAGTAAAGGCTTCCATTGCGTTGCTGTGCCGACGCCGAACCACGATGCTGCAGCCAAAGCTGCGATGCCGGGGCAAAAAGTGCCAGTCCGGCCCCAACTCACGTAAACAGAAACGGCATGCTTTACAATATGAGCTATCTTAGCCCGGGCCTGGTGCAGTGCGAGCCCGCCCCGTCCCAAGCCTCTTGCTATATCAGCAAGCCTGTCACGCTGGAAGAAGCGTGTCCTAACAACGGCTGAAGTTATCGGAAGGGCGGAAGAAGGGTCACTTGCGTCCACTTGCAGGGTTCACGCTTGCGCCGTATGGCCCCCCCTTATGGCTAGCCAGCACAACCTGAAGCGCGCGCCGCCACAGTTTGCCATTCAAACTTCTGAGTTGCGCATTTCTACTTCCGCGTGGCTGCCGTCCTCATCAACTCATCTTCACCAGATCCCTGACGAGCAACCATGTGAAGTTTGACATGGCTGATGCGACTGCGTCCTGCCGTCATAGTCTCAGTCCGAAGCTTCGTTGCCACAAGAATGAATGCCTGGTCACAACCGTTCACAAATTCTAGAGCCAATGCAAGACATACCATAGCAGAAAATGATAACAAATAAATTTGCAAGTCTGATGCGGCAGTTTCGAATATTACGAGCACGGTCGCGGTCATACGGTGGCGTCACCCAGAATCCAACCAATATTTGTGGGGCGCATCCATGACTCATGTCGGTAGAGGACATCAAAAAACATCAAAAAAACATCAAAAAACATCAAAAAACAGCAATAATTGAAGAGGAAGCAACTAGGTCCCTCACATTCCTGGCAATTCAATAGGTTCGTTTCTTCATTGTTTCTTCAGTGATTTGGAGGCACCATACCAAGAATGGCCTCTGCAAATGAGATTTACTAAGGCCAGGACCACGGTAAGAAGTGACACGTAGCTTCAAAGCCATAGAAACGATGGCTTGAATTCGATGATTTTTTCCATGTGATTGATGTGATGGTTGGGAAGGTAACTCAGCCTTGTAACAAAAACCACATCAAAGCTGGAATCCGATTGCGAAATATCATGATCTGCAACCATCATCTGCTCTTGGGAACAATCAACATCTGAGAAAGAATGTCAAATCAGGGAAGCTATTCCACCACTTCGCAGCTTGACCAAACATGTCAAATTTCGATCAAATCATGCAACAACTGTCATGTCCAGTCGGAGGTCAATAAAAGCCTGGGGTAAAGTGTTGATAACGTCCTCTTGACTTTGGCCATCTTCCCATGATCTAAAATATGGATATGTGTCAAAACCCGAACAGTACCTTGGTTTTCAAACACCTATGGATATTCATCTCCCCGAAAGATCAGAAATCATATATAGGTTTGGACCCATGTCCCAAAATATCCAGCAATAAAGGTTCCAATCGTGGTTACGAAACTCGGTGTTCGGGCTCGGCAATTGACGCCTTCATGCTGTAGGGCCCCTTTTTCTATTGTTCCTGTTGGTCCCTTGGTATATCCTATGGGTACCCTGGTATATTGAAAGGTTCTCCCGATCCCCAGTCCCTCTCCTCAGAAGCCCCGCAGAGAGGGCCCCTGGAAGTTCAGCTCATCGGCGATTTTCACCAGCTCCTGGGGGAGTTCCTACTGGGAGGGAGATGTGTGGACCACATAGTTCAACGTTTTCACGAGATGAAGGCTTTTCCAAGTGCTAAAATTAGCTGGCTTCGATGTGCACAAAACGGTGCGACTGCTAGTTTGCGTACTCAAGTTTTAGCATGGGGATCCTCCAAGCCCTTCCCCAAGTGGGTACTGAAGTGTGTCATGCAAATTCCATGGAACTTTGGAAGTCTTTGGGTCCGCTCCTCAAGAGTATGGACCCGTTTCATCGCAACTTACAAGCCACCCCCATGGAACGTGCGTTCACCCCATGGATTGCAGAGCATCTTTGTGTGCCAGTTACACGGGAGCTGAAGCCACCAACCCATGGTGCAAACACTACAGCGATTTTTGATGCCCAGTTGTGATGGAACACGTCTAAGAATATGGTTCCTCCCAACCAGCCGTCAGACTTTTGGTTGAAACACCTCGCAGCTCTACAAACCCTATTTCAATTTGTACCAATACAGCTGCAAAGGAACCATTCATGGTTGATGACACCTTGCAAAAATTGTTGGTTACCCTCTGGTAAACCAACCCGGCAAGGAACCAGCCCAATTGTTCAAGAGGAACAGGAACTACAGATGGGGGATGGACATTCAGGTGAGATGACCATTCAACTTCTTCTTTTTTCACGGTCCAACTCCCATTTTTTAAAGCTGAATTCGGCATTTTTGCCCCTCGCTTTTCGTTTTTTTTTTTTTGGTGGGATTTTCCATGAACAAAGAGCCAAATTCATAATGATGATCATTCAATTCCTCATCATTAAGCATGATTCAACATCAATTCACCATTAATTCAACATGAATTCACCATGATTAATCATGGAATCATGGTAAATCCGGGTGAATTCACCCATTTTTCCGTGGCCATTTTTGGATCCTCACGGCAGACCATCTTCTTCAAGGCTTTGGCGGCAACCACTCCCACACCTATCCAGTGGATTGTACCATGAATGGACAGGCAGTTTCCATTGATATCATCCGTTAATTGATGGCAAATGATGGAATGTTTTTTATAATTGATGGAAAAAACTAATCAGTTTTATCATTAATGTAGCAGTTGATTAATGGAAATGATACGTATTTGATGGTATCATCTACTAGTATCAATATCAATCATTAATTGATGATAATTTACTATCCACTAATCATTTCGTATCCATATTTAATATTGATTGATGGTATCATCCATGACCTGATGGCATGCACAATTATTTACCATTAATGGTACTTAATGGGTGATATGTTAATCATGGTCTTCACAAACTACCATTAATACATAAACTTCGAAATTTTGGATTTAACATGATTTAATACCACATGGATAAGGGTGGACAAACTTTGTTTGTTGAAGACATGTACAGAAATAAATACATCACTTGCCAGCATTGGGCAAATAGATCTATAACACATTTCTAAATAGATTCCCCAAGTTATAGATTGATCCATGGGACACTCAATCAGAAAAACTTGAACTGTGGATGGATTTTAGGTACACACAATGACCTTGGGGTTCCCCATTTTGACCAATCCCAATGTACACCTTTTACTTGCGATGCAACCTTCTTGGAACTCGGTTGGTTGGGCAAGTCTTTTCTGGATCCTTGCTGTTACAATCTCTCGGAATCCATTTTTTGCAATTCTTCGGCATACCTGGAACTGTCTGAAAAGTGAGTATATCCTCCAAATGACAATTTTGATGGGGAAAAAGACACTGCCCCATTGGAATTAGGGGTATCCTATTTTCAAAGAAACCCACATGAATGGTCGTTCTACCCATTTCCAACCACGAGTTGACATAGAGAATCTGGTCGCTTTTTTACGACCATCGTTTCTGCCAGGCAACTGTATCCACCGCGGCAGTCCTGCCACCAGGGATGGGATCTTCAATCTCTGTTGCAAAGTGGTGACTAGAAATTGACCTACCACAACTTCTGGGCCCCAAAAACGTGCCCTGAATGATGTCCTTACTCACTTCTTGATCTTCTAAACGTACCTGAGCTGTGATGGTGAAGGGTTGTTTGGGTGCTCATGGGTTTCATATCTGGGGATGTCAAAAGGAAGCACCAAAATCCTGAGTCATCCGAGTTCATCTGACGTCACCAACAGGAAAACTGACAGATTTTGAGCGAATCGAAGCTGAAATTGGCAGTTTGACCAATGAAAAGCATCTCAATGGGCATCATCCCTTTTTGTCAGATGAATGAGGAACCATTAGATTAATCTCTTTTCCCACGTGATTCTGCCCAACAAAGATGAACTTTTTGGATAAATTGTCATTTTTTTCCCAACCTAAAAAGTTATGTCACTCTGGGATAGTTGCCCCACTCCATTTCCAATCGTTCCAGTGGCTGGCTTCACGACGTGAGATCGCACTATTCTTTATCCAAAACAATAACAATTTCTATCTCATCAAATGCTCGTTAAGAAATCCATTTTCGTTGAATAATTTGCAATTTTTCATGGTGCTATCCCATTGTGGTTGCGGATTATCTCACAAATCTAGAATATTCACCAGAATATCCCATACCAACATGGTTTGCTGCACATTTTCCCTTCATTCATGGATGATTTCCCCATATTTTCCTATTGCCAGCTGCACCATGAAAGCTGGGTGCCGGGCTGTCATGGCCGCCAATGCGTCTCGATGACCCTTGGGAGACACCTGCAGGAGACCTGCGGCACATGGCGATGGCTGAAATGGGAATTTATGAGCCAATGGTTTTCTGGTCGGTAGGTTCAACCATTGGGAATTTTGACATGGACATTCCCATTGGTTCAACCATGGGTTTGAAAACTTATTCAACAAACAATTGACATCGTGAGCAAAAAGTGGGGAATACACCTGCGCAGCTTGCAACAAAAGATGGAGATCGAAACTGGAAAAACGGAGCACGTACAAACATGGAGATCAGGCCTAACACATGTTGGAGTTCCTACCCCCCCAAAAATGGTAGATGCAGTTTTCATTGCTCAAACCTGAATGTTGGTCAGTTGGTGTGTTTTCTTCAATTAGGATCCGTTGGGCCTCATTCACCTTGGATGAATCCGCGTTACCATGGTATCCACATCTTCATCGATCTTCCCGTGATTGCTAGTCCCCCCAACTTTCCAGAACAACTTTCATTTCCAGACCTCGGTTTTGATAGATCAAAAAATCATCTTTGTCAAATCATCCTCAAATTTCTGATTCACAATCTTGCTGAGCTCAATCAAAATCATTCATGACCTATGAATATCCAATAGATACTTCGTGTTTGATTAAGTATCTATGAATTAAATCATGATCTATGAATGTCCTATAGATACTATTGATATCTATAACATCTATTAAGTATCTATTAATATCTATTCATATACATCAATCAGATCATATCTATCTATTAGTAAAATATATTCATACCTATTAACATCAATACTATGATATGAATAGATAGATATCATTCTAATTAGATCATACCAATTAGTAGTATATTAATATACCTATTATTAATACCTATTAAGATCATGCCTACTAGTTTTTAAACCGAACTCAATCGCTTCGTCCAGGTCCAGGTCCAGGTCGCCCCAGCTGTTCACCGCAGCGAAGCGGACGTCCGCCGACTCATCCTGAGCAACTTCTGTGGGTTTTAACACATGGGGCCCCATGGGGCGTATAGATTTACATGATAGTCCTGGATAGTCCTGGGGATTCTCAATAAATGTGTGATATATTTCTAGAATTCTATCTATGTAGATATATATATATATAATAATTATTTTATTGATTATTTTTATTATTTATTGATTATTATTGTTATTACTATAAATGCACGGAATATACCCAGTCGTATTGATGGGTTATACATATATATATATATATATATGGATTATTAACCACATATTGACTGGGATGTGCTTCCACCCATTCCACTTATGCCTCAAACATGACTCTGAAACGACAAGCCCCTACGGCTTCCGAAGGTGGCTTCATCCGAATCAACTCCTACTGGCCCAATCTTTTTTAAGCCCTTCCAAATGTAATGATAAGGGGATAAGTCAAACACTGGTACCTTCGAATCTCAAAAAATGATTCGATGGAAGCATTTGGGGATGTGAACAGCTATCCGTTTTAGGGGTTTTTGGATTTGATACATCCCGGTACCAATTTGGCTCACAATTATAAACCCCAAAGAAAGGATGGTTCTAGATCCGAGAACCACCGGCCTTTTGTGGGTTATGATTCTGACCTATACAACCTAGTTTCAACTCGACCTAGATAAAAAACAAATTGGATCCTTTCTGGGGTCACTTATGAAGCATACATCTACAAACCGCTTGTATCATCCAGCCTGCATCATGGGAAGCAACAGCTCCACCGCCAACTCTCGATTCGGACCTGCCATTCTTGGAGACCAAAGGGTCTCCAAACACCAGCAGTGAAGAAAATTCTCATACTCCCCAATCTGCTCATGAATAAATTGCTGATTCTTCCCATACCTCCATCGATTTGCGAAAAAATCCATCATTTTCACCCAAGATGGGTTTGTCCAAGAGGGAAACAATCTCAACATCCCTAAACCCAATGGTATAATCATCATATTTCCATATATTTCCATGTATTTCCCATACTTTCCCCATAACACTTGCCAGAACTTGAGGTAAGTCCCCACGACTTGACAACTGCCTGCCACGCGAGGTATGGCCCGCACAGCGGATTTTCGCACATCAGTGTCCTGCTGGAACCATGGAATATCTCAATGGATTGGTGAGAAATTTTAGAGGACCCCCCTGGGCTTTTGCCAACCTTGTTGGGGCGTTTAGTTCTGTCAAATCTTGCCTGAAGAATTCTGGGAATATTACAATGGTGTCTCGGTAATATGCTCAGATTTGGTTTGGAATAAAATGCAAGAAAATCGAGAGGGTTGATAGAACTATAACCAACATTCATTGATCATTTCCCCACTGTTGGTGAAGTCAACCAGCAGCATTTCAGCAACATATGCCTGGATGGGGCTCCGGGGTCGTCCAGGTCATCTACCCTCGATCTGCATAAGACATATCCGCCATATGGGCTAACAAACCTGTACATCCTAAAAGTAGGTGGTCAATAGATGTTCATCCCTTCAAAATAGGATGGTATTAGGCTAATAGGATGAGTTTTTCAATTTTTCACCCAAAAAATGGCAATTTCGGAGGTTTTTACCATCCCCCAGGTGTCCCCAGCCGAGCGCCGCTTCGTTGTTTTCACGTCACACGGCGATGGCCAGTTGCCGCAGGGCCTCAGCGGCGGCGCTTTGCTGCGCGTTCTTTTTGGTGGCGCCGGGGCGACCGGTGAAGGAACGCCGCAGCATGGTGACCTCGGGGATGGGGATGGGGGGGGAAAAAAACATTATATTATATTTGTATTGTATTATACCATATTTGTATACACATATATACATATGGGAATTTTGTATGGGACAATGGAGAATCTATTGGAAACTATGTGGGAAATGATTCTGCTGATGATGCAGGGGATGGAATGGGCTAACCGATTTTCAGACCATGAGAAAACGTGAGAAACCCATGTGTATTTCAATGATGGTTGATGGATGGTGGGGATGGGACTCGCTGAGCTCAGGGACTTCAAACGACAAGACTGGGATGTTGGGGAACATTGTGGGAGGGCTTGAATGATGGAGACTCGTGTGCCAATGACATGGGATAAGATGTCGAGTGCTTTGATTAGGTGAACCTATTTGTGACACTGTTCGCAGTTTCCTCACATCTTTTTGTTTTTCTGATTTTTCGATGCTCAAAGCTGCACATCTCCAGTATTTGTAAACATGTTTCCTCATTTTTCCCACGATTTATCCCCGGTTTCGGGTGCTTTCTCTCCCATTTCGCCCCGTGGCGCACCAGGGCACCTCCACTTTGCTGACGAAGCCTTCCGGCTTCGTCTCCTCCTGGGGGTTTTTCATGTCATGTCTAGTGGGATATCACCATTTAATAGCCATCATAGCCATTAATCATATTAAATAGTGGCCCTCATGGCATTTAATCACCATATAGTTAATAGCCATCATGCCATAATAGCCATTTAATAAGCATTTAATCGCCATTTAATAGCGATTCATTGGGATACTAATGGGATAAGACGTGATCATATTGATATGGGTATTTGATGAATATAGCAACCTATGCGGTGGTATGTTACAATGACATGGATATAGAACCGATTACGTCATTATCTATACCAAGTCAGTTGTGGGGAATATCAATGGGATATAGCAATTTACTGGCACATACTGGGATAAAACCATTCAATGGAATTGACCAGTGCGTGATATTTCGGGTTACTTAAGGGGATGTAATGGGATAACGTTAATATAACATTGATGGATATTTAATCGGATATTATATTGATAATTATGATGTATAATATATATATATATGTATATACATACATACTAGATACAACGGCACAACCATTAACTGGGAGGTGTAACAACCATTACCAAGTCATTAAATGACACCATCCCCAAATTAACATGGATCACAACTAACAAAATTAACAAATAAATCTAGAGAGAATGAGTCTTCAAAGGCGTATCTGATAGGGTCTGTGCAAGTTGAGGGGATAGCGGTGATTATATATATACATATATATGGGGATATTGGGATAGATATAAGGGAGGCATACAACCAGTACTGGGATACTTTATGGGATTTATCGGTTTCTATGGGAGATTCTATGAGGTATACATAGGGATATTTAAGGAGCTAATTTGCAGGAATATCTTCTTTGATGACATTGGGGAGATATTTTTTGACATTCCATACAATGGGACCTTTCTCGATATAATGACATATATGTCTAGCAATATAAAATGGTTTCCTAAACTGGTAAAATGGATCTTTGTCAATCAGGAAACCACAGGCGAAAAAGGGGCAGCACATTTATAGTGTGGCCACGAAGACGCTGCCAAGTAGCCTCATATTTCAACAACTCTTCTGCAGGTTTCTTCCATGTCTTCAAGGCCCACTCATTCCTGAAACGGCACACAGGCGAGAATGCTAGTTCATCTTGGGACGGGTATCCACGCATATACATATATGTATATGTAAATTAACATAATACCATGTGATATTCCCAAACCTAAGGGCTCCAAGTGATCTTCGCTTCGCCCAGAAAAACTAGATCATCCTTCATGCAGATTCTACGGAGATTTTCAGGTGGCAACTCCACTGGTTGTCAAAAAAATGACATGCAGCATATGCTGCAGTGATCATCTTCCTACAGTCACCATGATTTTCACTGCCAGGTTGTTATTGGGCCACAAGTTTAGTTTGTCTGGTGTTCTGTGGCAGGGATTTCGAAGCGGATGTCGCAGAGAGTTCGAAACATCTTTGGGGTCATGAGGTTCAAACTCAAGGGTACATGGAAATCACCAAATCATTTTGCTGAATCCAGGGCTTGTTGGTGGAATGCGGCCTTGGCCCCACATCAGATTTTAGGGTGATCATAAGCTGGATATCTCCCTGCCGGTTCCAGATCTGAGATCTTCATTGATTCGGTTGGACCCTTTCTGACCTGACCATACCTGACCTTAAATGAGCAACGAGATGCAAATTCTTGGTGCCTTCAACCCATGCCCAGCAAACTGCCGACACAAGCACCAACTTCGTTGCGAAACTAGTGCCAGAACTGCTGCTACCCCAGTGAAACGACCGAGGCCCAATGCATAGCTGGGGGGTGTTCAAGACCCTCCATTGGTGGTTGTCATTGGGTTAAATGATCTCGTTACCCTTGAGCAAACAAATTCGGCGATGCAACATCATGACCAGAAAACACTCCGTTCACCTGTCAATTTGCCCAGTTGGATGGGTGGAGCACTTTCAAACGAGAATCAATACGCCCTTCCAGTTGGTGGTCGCTGTCAACGCCATCGTTCCACCGTTGCCATTGGTGGCTGGGGCCGGTGGGGCAGGCGTTGTAGGAGTCACCGGGGTGTAGGCGGGGGATGGGGTCGAAGGAGTGGAACCAGGGCAAGCCGTTGAAGCGCCAACTCCGGGCGCGGCTGAACTTGAATAAGTGCCTGGTTGAGCTGCAGAAAGCATCCCAAGGGGTTTTAAAAAACTGAAAATGCAAACCACGAACAAGTTGGGGATGAATGTTTTACCAACTTGCACACTTTTGATCTTCAGTTTGTACCACGGACAAGGTAGGGGTGTCTGGCATCAAAAACTAGGTGTTGGTGTATGGGGAACGACTAGCATATCGTAGTGTTGACACAACAGGTGTGCAAATGGAGTGAATTGTATCAATACATCCACGCTCTCTATTATGTCGATCCATTGATCTGTCCAAATCAAATCAAATACAGTATGTATATATATATATATTTACAAATAGGTAGTTTCACTTCAACTGTATCAGCCATTGGACCATAGACAGGCAGCATGCACAAAAACACAAGCCCACATTCAAACACATGTATCTCTTTCACACAAATTGCACACATGCACATCATATATGTGTATATATATGTATGTATGTATGTATGTATGTATATATATATATATTCTACACACACAGAGATCTTGAACATATATTCCATTAATATCAACCATTGAACAATAAATAGCAATCCTGGCAATCCTCATCTAGTCACAACTCCAATGGCATTTTTTTCCAGCAAGCTGCTCTTCATCTTGATGCCCGGCTTCAGGTTCATGGCTGGACACGCCAGCTTTGTGGATGCCAAGGCAGCCTTGGAAGACTAGCTGAAAACCAACAGATCTTTTGCTGAAACTGAGAGATTTGATCACCCAATATCACCAATACTTCTAGAATCCATGAAACTACGTTATGGATGTGATAAAATGGTGTTTATGATACTACCAAATATTTTTTATAGAATCTCATATGCAACATCCATTCAAACACCCTGCGAGCACGCATCTTGTTGAATTTTGGTTGAATCCCTAATCTTGTTGAGCAACTGCTGTCGGTTGGTTCTTGTCATCCAACAGTTGGTTACGATGCATGTGGACGGCCACCACAAAGAGATGTCGCCGCTTCGTCTTATCCTCCTGCTTCAAGTTCTTGCACCGGTCCTGGGCCGCAAGTAGCCACAGCAAGTCATGACGACCGTTGGCATTGTTTACCCGGAATCTGGGGATGAAGAAGTAAGAAACATCGATGGAACATGTGTTTTTTTCACAGTATCACGGTCAACTGTACGCATATGTCAATATCAACCTATATCAACCATCTAAATGGGTCCAAACTTCTCATCAAGGTTCTGTCTCAAAAAGAAAACGCATGCTCCACTTTGTGGCCATGAACCAATGTCTTTTATCCAAGAGCTGAACAAAGGTGTTCATCCCCCTAAGATAGATTTGCTTAGGGATCATTGACCATTGACCCATCCAGATCTCCACATCCAGATCTCCACATTTTCACGTCGATTTCTCCATCCTATTGAATAAATCATATGGCCATTTTAAAGGTTTAACAGTTTAACATGCAAATTTTGGGTTCCAGTTTTTCCCACAGCCCCTAATCCCTAAATAAATCGCAACTATGGGTGTTTTCTAAGCTAATTCAAGGGGGGATGACCAACGATGGTTTTGGATCATGGACCCGTCGCCAAATCATCAGACTATCATCCAACCACCCCAAAACACCATCCCAAGACATGGTGTTCCAACCACCTCATGTTTAGAGAATATTAACCAATCTTAGACACCACATAAAACCCCCCAAAAATCTGGGTAAAACCAGCACTTTTCATCTTTCAACATGTGAAAATCAAGGCAACATCCTCCAAGTCCCCAAGGGTCCCCAAGGGTCCCCAAGGGTCCCCGTAGGGGTCCCCATAGCTTCACCAGGCGACGGGGTCCAAGATCTCCTCCAGTTTCACATCGCCCCAGTAGTCGTTCACCTCCTTGGCCGTCACCGTGACGAAGCCAACGGGCGAGGGATACTTCATCTCCGTCACCACGCGACGGCTCTGCCTCGGTAAACGGAAATGTTTGGAAGGGGATGGGCGACATTCGGCGAATGGGGTGGACCAAAAAAAAGGATGTAAACATGATGGGTTTTTTAGAGATAAACCACATGTTTTCTTGTTCTTGGCTACAAAAAACCAGCAGCCTTCGGTCCAACGACATGCCGTCACAGCCAGGTCATGTACGTCAAGGTGCGGAGGATAGACACAAACCTGTTCCTCGCTGTAGGTGAAGAGATCGTCGGGGTTGAAGGACTGTCCCATGGTCTTGGCACAGTACTCGTAGACGATCCTCAGGGAATTTGAACAACGATCCTTATCCGTGAACCGGGTCGGGAATCCCGGAAGACATGTCAAATAAACATATGAACAAAGAATTAGGAACATGATCCCAAACAGATATTAGAAAATCAAGAAATATGAAGAAACCACCAACCAAACTGGAAGACATGTCATATTTTCCAGCTGCTGTAAGGGATAGAGGCATGAACGATGGTAGGGGGATAAAACCACCATGGGTGGTGGAAAATGAGAGAGGCCAAACATCACCCGCACAGAACAAAAAACAGATTCAACCCCAATTCAACCTACAGTTTCGGGCATCCAGGCATCTATGAAAATTCTATCTCAAGAACTGATGGCCAGGTATTGCCAGTTCGCAATTTTTGTCAAGTTAGATGGTTTATCTACGATCTTTTCTCTGGATTTACTTGTTTCATGTTGATATTGGTTGGTCAGGTACCCTCTGGTAAACTAACATAGCTATTGAAAATGGCCATTTATAGTGAATTTTCCGATTAAAACTGGTGATTTTCCATAGTTATGTTAGTTTACCAGAGGGTATTTCCCCTTGTATCCCCATGAAATGCTTGTCCAGTGTATTCCGAGAGTCTGAAGGCAGTTGAAGAAATTCACCTGCGAAGAGGGACACCCCAAGAATCTTCGATTGTTCATCAAACTTTTCCGCATTAAGATTGATCAGATTGTCAAAGTAATTGGGACTCCGATTTCTGGACAAAACCATATTGTTGGTTTCCCATGGCACCATTTTTAGTGGCTGTATCACTATGACTCTCCCCTTGGGACGGTGATAAGGCTGTTCCCGGCTCCCCCATGATATCCCTGTATCGAACATGGGTTGATTGCAGTCTCTCCAGTGTTTTCATCCGAATTTTGTAGTTCCAAAAAATACCCGGTTTGGTCATCAAACTTGGCAATGGAAAATCCCCATTTACGGAGGATTTTCCCTTGAACACCTCCATTCTTGGTATAGGAATGTCCTGCCACGTTTCATGACACCGGAGGGTAGTCCCTCGAACCTCAGAATCTCCAGAGTGGAAAGGATAGATCCCAGGCCGTGATTTGGTGCTGGCCTTGGCTTACGCTTTAGCGTGGCACGTGGGGCTAGCAACTGGAAATAACTACATTAATTAACTTGTGAATATTGATTTAAACTTAAACCCAATAGTTGGAGCCAATCATTCATAACACCTCTTAGGCTGATTGGTTTGTTGTGGCAGCAAACATGGGATATGGTGGCGATTGAGCCAACAAAATCTAGGGATAACGATGGTTGATACTTGGATTCTGGATTTTGATCATGGGATGAACCAAATGCAGCCAATTATATTGCGAATAAGGTGAACACCCAAATGGTGGTACCCTCTGGTAAACAAACATAGCTACTATTGACAATGGCCATTTATAGTGAGTTTTACCATTAAAAATGGTGATTTTCCATAGTTATGTTAGTTTACCAGAGGGTAATACACACATTGTGAATTCAACCCATGAATTTTGGTATCAACAGCATCAAAAACGACCAATCTGAATGATTCATGATGGTGATATAATATGATATACCATAAGAATCAGTGTCTCCGTTTTTCGGGGCGGGTTTTAATTTCCTCCCCTCATGGCTCAAGGTATCAGGGAACCAGCCTTGGGGAAGCCACTGGACATCCAACGCCTTCATGATCGCAATAGACATCCCCAGTAGTGGTTTGTGAAATTGGCTAATTATACCTCTAATATTGGGATTTTTCAAAGAACAATAGCCTCTTAGTATGTTCAATTTGAACGATTTACGGCATTGTGGTTCCCATTTTCCATTCTAATCATTTCATATCATTTCATTGTATCCAAACGGTTGTTGGTTTTATACACCCACAGATCCTCAGTAAAATATCACCATCCTTAACTATTGATGGCACCAAGCTGCAAGACGTCGTCTGTGCCGCTCCTTCTCTGACAGTTGCAAGTCCTTGCTGCTTCGAGGAGGACTGGAACAAACACTTGGAATCCATTCTGAATTTACATCCCAAGAAACCGGAATTTTGATCGGGAAACTCTCCCAAGAATTGGGTGAACGTACAGAGTTTGCTTGGCTGCCATGGTGGCGTCATGTCTGTGACATCGAAAATGGGTCTTCGCCGATGAATTCCAACCAAAATCCCTAAATCAATCCCAATCATCATCATCACCCCAATCATCAATGGCATAAAATCATCAATGGCTATACTATAAATATTGGGAAAATATTGGGAATGGCTATTGAATCATCTTCTCAATGGATTCTTCCCAAGTTCTTGACTCATAGATCCCCCGTTCAACTCCCATCTTCCCATAGCACTTCCCACCTGATCTTTGGCCACTTGGTCCAGGCGTTTGGCCTGGAAACTGATGAGACATCACCAAAAAATTTTTGGTGATTCCTTGATATTTAGTGGTGGTGTTATGGCATTTATGGAGTTCTTCTTGAGGATTTAACCGCCATTCATGGAGTTTAATGGAGTTTAATGGAGTTTAATGGAGTTTAATGGAGTTTAATGGAGTTTAATGGAGTTTAATGGAGTTTAATGGAGTTTAATGGAGTTTAATGGAGTTTAATGAGGAAAAACAATTCAAAAGGACCATTGAAAGCGAAGATTCGATGATGATTTCAATGGGCAATCCTAAATTCTCAGCAGTTGAAGTAATGGCAATCTTGTGGCAATTCTCATGGGGAAGACTATGACACACAATTTCGAGTTTAAGCAAGCAATCTGTGGGGAGTCAGCCCGCAGACCCATAAACAGGAGGGTTGAAACAGAAAGCAAAAACAACATATGGATTTCAGCAACCAACCAAGCAAGAAAGGTTAAGTGATTGATAATGATGTTTGCAGCTTTGACCAGAAAAAATCCATGCAGCAAAGATATACCAAACAACATAAGAGGGATTCAAGCAATAATAGAAGCGGATTGATGGACTGTAACCAACAGGAAACCCAGCAAGGGTGGCAAACTATGTATAGAATTAGACAAAAATATAGAGTGGGAATGAGTGAAAGGTGTCAAGGTACGCGAGGACCTCAACATTGGATGTGATACCCCGTGCACACATGACGATAGTCAAAGTAGTAAAAGTTTGGGATGCAAACCACCAATCACAGGGATATCTTCACCAATCATCCATCTATCCTGTGTTTTATCCCGCTTTAATCCCAGTTTCGTTGCTTTTAAAAAACACAACTGTTTGGCTGGCGCCTGACTTTGGTTGGCCCAAGCTGCATTGTTCCAGAGTCAAAGATGCAAAAGCTGGCAGGGCCGGCCTTGTTTTCTTCTTCTTCCGGATGGTTGTCGAAATAATAGATTTCCTGAGGCCCGAATAGGGTGAACTGGAAGATCTTCGGACAATGGGGAATATGACCGTCTCTTAAGAATTCCTAAGATCAGAGTACCATCATTTTTGAGCATGTTGTATATGATTATATGACGATGACATACTATGACTGTATGTCTTTTCAGCCCCAAAATTGCCTCTGGATTAGATGCTTCAACATGGTTCTCTTGATGTAAATTTGAGCAAATTTTAAAACCACTAACCACCCAACAAGGGACGTGCCTCAGGACTCAACAGCCGGACTCAACAAGAACAGCCACAGAACTTGCGCGCTGGCCATGCAACCATGCGTATGCCATGCGTCCGCATTTTCGTCTCTTGCACGGCCACTGCCTTGAATATGGCTCTTCGTGGTGTTGAACTTGTTGAAACGTATCACGAAGGCACAATCCTCAAGGACGGGACTGTGAGTACTTTCTGGGCATAACGGGGATAACATGTGCTGAAACAACATGTTTAGCAAATGGGAACTCATAAGCAAGTCACCAATGGATTTCATATTTTAACCAGCGAACTGAACAACTTCTTGTGAAACTTTCGACCCATGGGTCTAAAATCCTGGGGCTGGAAGCATCCCAAACAGTGGGATAGATGATCTAGTTTCGCAGGTTTATAATGGTTTATATACTTTCGACATCTTTCGACATCTTTCGACTCACAACTATTTCCATGCAGAATCTAGGACACATCCACCCAAATTCAGCCCTGTGCAGACTAAGTCCCAAGAAAAAGTCGCCCACAATCACAAATAGATGAGTTTTAAAAGATTTTCCCAGTCATTTCACATAACTTGTCCTTTTTCCTATCACTTTTTGGGTGTCAAAAATGGGTTACCCCAACAAATCCCCATGGTTTTTAGCACATTTCCCCATCCCCTGGGTTTTCCGCTGAGTCGAGGTTCCGAGACATCCACCCCTTCCTCCAAAGCATTGGTGCAGACCAGGAGGTTTTTCTCACCCCGCCGGAACTGGTCCATCTGCTGATTCCGCACACCTGTGCTGCACTGTGCTGGGAGAAAAATATGGGAAAACCAGGGTGACCAACAAAAACAGAACTATATCTTGATGTATCTTGATGGATTTGAATGATATTTTTGGAACCACATATTTGATTGATTTCCAAGATATCAAGATGTTTGAGAATGGCCCCAACAACCTTTTTTCAGCATCACCAGGTGTCAGCTAAGACCACCATGGTGTTTGGGTACGTACCCTCGGACCCAGCGCCAGGTCGGTTCTCAATTTTGATGGTGCACTCCCTTGGTGATGACATCTGCATGACATGAAAACAGTATAACACATTACAACAATCAGTATCCAAATCTACCACACACATCAACATACCCTATCACAATATATCACAATCATGTAGCCTCATGTAGATAATATGTAGATAGATAGATATATATATATATATATTGAAAGCATTGAAATTTTGCCCCATGGCCCCATACCCAGTGATGTCATGCCAAGCCACTTTCGGTCATGGATCCAACCCCGGAGACAGCGCCAGCACGGATGTGAAGGCCTGTTCCTCGCCACTTCCGCGGAAACATGGGAAAATCAGCAAAATCCCTGGGATATCACGGCCTAGGCGTGGACATGTCGCAAAAAATGAGGTTTTTACAGTTTTACATCATTAAACATGGTGATTCAAGTATTACAATATGAAACAAGGAGAATGGCAACAACGAATACGGATGGTATAATGGCTTAGTATGAATCAACAGCAACATAAATCACCGGTGCAAGACAGGTCTCAGGGTCCATTGGACCTTGAAAAATCCTGGGCCAATCCGCACTTGGCCAAGTCTCTTTGGAACTGTTCGTTGACCAAATGTGCCAATGGCATGATCAAGGCAACCTGACCACTGCACTGTCAGTTGCACCCCTGGTATTTTCATTTATGTGCGTTTTTTCACAATGCTCCCAACTAACTTCAGCCCCTGAAACTGCCCCAAAATGGATAGTTCTTCCAATCCCCAAATCATGGCAGAATGAATCCCTGCTGGGATGCTCACCCCATGACACCGACACCTGCGTCACGAAGATAATGCCCCTGTACGTACCATCCTTGCCACACGGGCTTCCCAAGATTTGGGGTGAATCCACTGGCATGGCTTGCGCAGCTTGAATTTTTTCATTGTTTGGCCTCTTAGCCTGTCCATTTATGACCAAAAAATCAAAACATTTACCATCATTGACCTATCAAACCGGAGTTCAACCGTTGTGGTTTCCATGTTTTCCAGCGAGACATGCCATGTGGGCCATGTGCCAAGTATCTCGGCTTCTTGGCTGGAACCTGAGTCATGGCCAGTGATGGGGAGTTGTTTCGTGGCTGAAGAAAAACGAAATTCTGACCGCAATGATTAATGGGATAATCATGGGGTATTAATGGTATATTAAATGGGATAATAATGGGATGGTGGGATATCAAGGATGCCTTTGGTGTCATTAAGCATGGCTGGAGAATCCCTCATTTAGCCCGATGATTTTCCCATCAAAACACCATGAACAGTTCGCGGATTTTCCAGCCACCATTGATGACACCAAACGGTAAATGTTTTCTCGTGGTTGGCTCATGATTTGCATGGGATATCATATAAACCTACTCAATGGCGGATGGTTTGCAAAAAAACTGGCGGATGGTTTGCAAAAAAACTGGCGGGTCCCCGTGTCGAAACATGTAGAAACGATCGGGTCATTCCACGACATTGACATGTCACTCGAGGAACAGAACCGAGCCGTTTTGCATGGCAAATTCCTCATCATTGCTTCACATTGTTACATGTTGTTACCACGAATTCCCGAAAAATGGCACCAAAACAAATAGACATGATCTTCCCCACTGTTTTGACCGGGCCCTGTTCCATCGATTTGGAGACTCAAAGGCAAGCAACGGCCAAATGGCCCCTATGACGGGGATTCCAAGGGGGAAATAGTTGAATTTGGACATCTAAATCCCAAAAGCGCCCAGAAACACACATTTCTGAACAATATCTCCCAGTTGTGGCAGGTTCAAGCTGGATTTTTTTGTGCCTAACACCATTTTTCATGGTTGAGTCTCTATCGGCCTGTGGGTGAAAGGTGAACTGGCATGACAGCCGAGCAGCAACGTTGTAAGAAGTTCCAGCAATCCTGAGCCAAAACTAGGTTCACCTGTGGAATTGGGAGATCTTTGAGTTATGGGCTTGATTGCAAGCAATCAACTGCATGAAACCACGTGTTTTTGCCATAATTACACCTGTAGAAATTTACTCCAACAAACTCTCTGAAACCAAGTTTGGGAATTGGGTTTCTGCATGCTCTTGTTTCCACCAGTGAAAGCAGGGTAGCAAATAGTGAGCGTGTCCAGACAGGGTTTGTCGGCGATACCAATCTTTCTTGTTCTTCATGATGAGGAATTAAAACAACATAAGCTTCAGTGGTATCCCTAACAGCCGCAACGTTCTATTTTTACACATCTGTCTGAAGCGTGCTGCGAAGCCAAGCGCTGGAACCTTCTCCGGAACCTTGTTGAAAACAAAAACCTGGCTCTGCACCAAAGCCTCCCAGACCTTCTCCGGAACCTGCCTCCCAGACCTTCTCCGGAACCTTCTCCGGAACCTTGTTGAATCTGACCTGGCTCTGCACCAAAGCCTCCCAGACCTTCTCCGGAGACTTCTCCGGAACCTCGTTGAACCTGACCCGGTGCCTGCACCAGTGCACACCGGAGCTATTCTGGGCTGAAGACCCCATTAGCTTACGCTGTTGAGGAACAAACTCTGATGAATTAAATGAGAACTATGGAACATTTTGGACCCTATCCCAGCCACGCAACAACTCCCTTTTCACATCTGCAGGTCATAGCCTGAACCCAAGGATCTGTGTGCTTTCCCAGAGATCGTCGGAACTCCTCTCAACTGGCCTGGCGAGGATCTGGTTCATCCAATTCAGTGACGACATGCCATTGTTGGGGTAACATGTGAAATCTTCTAAACGCATCATATCTGGCTGACGTTGTTGAAACATAATCCTTTCTACTTCACAATCTTCACAAATGACCAGTTCTTAAAGAGTGCGAATCACCATCTATTTCCTTTGTTCCATCACCATTTTTGCCACGGCCAAGAGTCACCGAGGTCACCCCTTTTTGCACGGCTATCCTTAGATAGCCTTCAAAGAACAAACCAATGTTTAGCAACCCAATTTCCCAATTTAAAGGGCCATAAACCATCATAATTGTGGTAAATAAAGCGTGCACATGGATGTTTAACATAGTTTAACATTTAACATAGTTTAACATGGCTTGACATAGCTTAACCCCCTCAAACATACCCAATCCAGTCATAGGTCCAACCCAATATCTCTCCATTTGCTCCATGTTGTTGCGCCTGTTGTGCCAACTGAATTGCCCAGCTGCTGAAGTCGTTGGGTCAACTGAGGCATTTGACTGCGGAGATGCGCTGCCTGGCATCCATGTACCGAAGGATGGAGAATCAAACATAAAGTTGGGCAATGTTGGGCATATAAGATCTTAAAATATCTTGAAATATCTTGAACTGCCCTTTTCCCAAAGTAACTATCATAGCTTCCGTTGCAAAATTAACGAAGTTGGCGGGTTCTTCGGGTTCCGTATATTAAGAAACCATCATAGGAAACCATCAGCCAGAATGACAAGTGATATGGGTAAACTGTCGCTGGACAATTGGGATGCCACTCTGGGGCCAGGCAGAATAATTTGGCAAACCTTACGATGATAATCATGATAGTCATTTTTGCAAACAAAACAGCATTTGTGGTCCGGAAAAAACTTCTCAAAGCCTACTCCAGTGGCCATCGCAAATGATACCAGGAACCCATGTCCTAAAGCCTTCTAAGGCACCACATGACATAGTTTGATTTTCACTCAAGCTGAAGCTGGGGGCAAAACATATTAAGCATGCTCACGTGCGGCGATCTGTCCTGCATGAGAACTGCCGTTGATAGACAAAGGGATTTTCGACTTGCACAAGTCTGGCCATCCCAAGAAAAGGCCACTTGATCGGAGTCATCACCCCAGGTTTCAAAAAGAAGAAGTATCTTTGAATCCATCGGCCAAATACCATCAAATACCTATCAATATCTAGCATGAAAACCACTTATACCCCTACTTGATGCTTCCATTTTCCATTCCTTTTCCATTGAACTGCTAGATTTTCCAGCAGTTCCGGAGGTCAAAAAGAAATCCACCACATCGCCAAGGCGCCAACTTTTTGGATTTCTCATCTGCCAGGGAAGCCAGTTGCTCGGCATGGGCGTCCATCTGAGGCTGGATGCCTATGGCTATGGCGGGTTTCCACCAACGAGGGCCCAAAATGGATGGGAAAATGGATGAAGAAACACCATACAAAATGGGTGATTTGGGGGTCCCCCAATAATGTAATCATCGTTGCTATCATGATTCTTCTTTATTTGATGGGTATTTTTGATACGGGAATTTAGAGCGAGACAAATAGGGATATCACCGGTATATCGTAGGGCATGGTGTCAACTCCAGCAATAAATTTGATCTCATGTCAGAGCCCCTGTTTGAAACCCATGAATTTCGACATTGGAACCTTTGCAAGGCCTAAAACCAAATTGCACCGTGTGCTTCTGAATTGGATTGTGCAACACAAAATGTGACCAATGACAATGACGCGCTCCAGTGGATTTTGGTACATTGGTTGCAGCAATGATCCACAAGATTGATAATGTTGGTAAAACAATAACATCTACCGTCCCAAATTTTACCAGTGATGGGTGGTATAAAACATCAAAATATGGGTGGTAAACATCATTGGTTTACCATAAAGGAAATATTGATGGGTGGAAAAAACATTGTTGGAAAATATGGGTGGAAATTAAAAAAAATCTAATTCCCCCTGTAGCAAGGCTGTTTCGACCAAGGTTCTCATCCAGGCACTGAGATGCACCACCCTAAACCCATCTTGCCACTTGATCTCGGGCCCTGCAAATTGACTAATGTTGGAGGGTTTGGTCAACCAGTAAGATCCCTATAAATAATCCAGATCTATGATTTCGATCGTTTCATCTCCAGTTTATATCCATTTACCAATGATTTTCCAATCGCAACCTAATTAAGTTCCCATCTTCATCACCATTAAAATTAAAGGTCTACTACATGCCTATATGAATTTTCCAAACAGACCTGGCCGCGTGGTTCCACAACCATTTTTGGGATACCCAGCCAGGCCACAATTCTTCAGCGCATCACGGAAGGCGGCCATACCCAGTTCTTCCAAGACGTGGCAGGTGCGGGTGACCAACTTTCGGCACTCCTTCACCTCAAATAAGAAAAACAAATGGATATGAAATTCTACCATGGAAACTCAACAATTTTAATTATGGTGATTGATGGGGCGTGGGGTGTGAAGTGCGGAGTGTGACGTGTGAAGTGTGGAGTGTAGAGTGTGGAGTGTGAAGTGTGAGGTGTGAAGTGTGGAGTGTGAAGTGTGGAGTGGAGAGTGTGACTTGTGAAGTGTGGAATGTGAAGTGTGGAGTGTGAAGTGTGGAGTGTGGAGTGGAGAGTGTGAATTGTGAAGTGTGGAATGTGAAGTGTGAAGTGAAGTGTGGACTGTGTACCGTCAGGTGTGCAGTGTCAAGTGTGAAGTGTGGAGTTTGAAGTGTGCAGTGTGAAGTGTGGAGTGTGGAGTGTGAAGTGTGAAGTGTGGAGTGTGGAGTGTAAAGGGTGGAGTGTGGAGTGTGAAGTATGAAGTGAGCAGTGTGAAGAGTGGAGTGTGGAGTGTGAAGTGTGGAGTGGAGAGTGTAAAGTGTGAACTTTGGAGTGTGAAGTATGAAGTGAGCAGTGTGAAGAGTGGAGTGTGGAGTGTGAAGTGTGGAGTGGAGAGTGTAAAGTGTGAACTTTGGAGTGTGAAGTGTGGAGTGTGCAGTGTGAGGTGTGCAATGTGAAGTGTGAAGTGTGGAGAGCCAAGTGGGGAGTGTGGAGTGTAAAGGGTGGAGTGTGGAGTGTGAAGGGTGGAGTGGAGAGTGTGGATTGGAAAGTGTGAAGTGTAGAGTGTGAAGTGTGGAGTGTGGAGTGCGAAGTGTGGAGTTTGAAGTGAAGTGTGGAGTGTGAAGTGTGGAGTATGCAGTGTGGAGTGTGCAGTGTGAAGTGTGAAGTGTGGAGTGTGAAGTGTGGAGTGGAGAGTGTGAAGTGTGAAGTCTAGAGTGTGAAGTGTGGAGTGGAGAGTGTGAAGTGTGAAGTGTAGAGTGTGAAGCGTGGAGTGTGAAGTGTGCAGTGTGAAGTGCGGTGTGTGAAATGTGGGGTGTGGATTTCAGAGTGTGTAGTGGAGAGTGTGGAGTGGAGAGTGTGAAGTGCGGTGTGTGAAATGTGGGGTGTGGATTTCAGAGTGTGTAGTGGAGAGTGTGGAGTGGAGAGTGTGAAGTGTGGAGTGTGAAGTGTAAAGTGTGGAGTGTGAAGTGGAGAGTGTGGAGTGTGGAGTGTGAAGTGTGGAGTGGAGAGTGTAAAGTGTGAACTTTGGAGTGTGAAGTGTGGAGTGTGCAGTGTGAGGTGTGCAGTGTGAAGTGTGAATTGTGGAGAGCCAAGTGGGGAGTGTGGAGTGTAAAGGGTGGAGTGTGGAGTGTGAAGGGTGGAGTGGAGAGTGTGGATTGGAAAGTGTGAAGTGTAGAGTGTGAAGTGTGGAGTGTGGAGTGTGATGCGGGAAGTGTGGAGTGTGGAGTGTGAAGTGTGGAGTTTGAAGTGAAGTGTGGAGTGTGGAGTGTGCAGTGTGAAGTGTGAAGTGTGAAGTGTGGAGTGTGAAGTGTGGAGTGGAGAGTGTGAAGTGTGAAGTGTAGAGTGTGAAGTGTGGAGTGGAGAGTGTGAAGTGTGAAGTGTAGAGTGTGAAGCGTGGAGTGTGAAGTGTGCAGTGTGAAGTGCGGTGTGTGAAATGTGGAGTGTGAATTTCAGAGTGTGTAGTGGAGAGTGTGGAGTGGAGAGTGTGAAGTGTGGAGTGTGAAGTGTAAAGTGTGGAGTGTGAAGTGGAGAGTGTGGAGTGTGGAGTGTGAAGTGTTATAAGTGGGGAGCCAAGTGGGGAGTGTGGAGTGAAAAGGGTGGAGTGTGGAGTGTGAAGGGTGGAGTGGAGAGTGTGGAGTAGAAAGTGTGAAGTGTGGAGTGTATATTTCTTTGAACATTGCACTTTTGGCTGTGGGGCATGCTCCATTTTTAAGGAGAAACCCACATCTACCTATCTACCTACCTATCTACCTATCTACCAACCTATCTACCTACCTATCTACCTATCTACCTATGTATATCAATTTGTCTTTCTCTTGATTTGTCGATCTATCTATTTATCTGTCTGTTTACCTGTTTATTATCTATCCTATCCCATCCTATCTATCCTATCTGATCTTGTCTTATCTTATCCTATCCCATCTTATCTTATCCTAGCTTCTCTGATCTTATCCTATCAGATCCTATCACATCCTATCTTATCTTATATTATCTGATCTTATCCTATTTATCCTATCCTATCTGATCTGATCTTATCCTATCTCATCTTATTTGATGTATATTATTTCCCCCGGTGTTTTCCAACCAAGGAACCTGCATCTGCACAGTGTTTTGGAAATCCCCAAGCAACGCATCCAGCTTCTTCTCGGCTTCGCTACAGGCTTCTCTGCTCACATCCTCTTGGAAGGTCACATACCTTGGCAGGGGACCAGCAGATACCTGGCTTTGTCTGAAAATAGGATAGTTCCAACAAAACTCATGCTGTTTATCAGTTGATTCAGTTGATCATGATTTTCCAGCTTTTTTCCAGCTTTTTTCGGTGGTTTTCCAGCCATGTTTCGCCCAACAAATCATCACCGATCCATTTCGATCGTGCGAAGGGGCCGAAACTTCGACGTGGAACCGCTGCCTGCGACTCCACCAGCTACGAGGTGGGCAGGCACGTCTGGAGAGAAGAGGGACGCCTAACGATGGGAGCTGGTTGGAGGTTGGAAGAGGTTGGAAGATTTTTGGTTCCCAAACGATGGGATTAGTGTCAATCGAAATACGGAATAGATTCATCTATATGTATATATATATATAGGATTCAAATCTTGTTCTGTTTTGAAACACAAGAAAAAAACACGCAATCCAAACACGGTTCTTACTATCTCTCAACATCTTATGGGTCATGGTTTAGTTGACATCATTTGTTGAATTTTCTGAGCTTGCAGGGTGACATCTTCCTGAATTTCTCAGGGTTTCAAAACTAAGTGTTGGGTGTGGTGACTTGATGTCAGGGCTTGGGAAAAAACTGCCCTGCTCAAAGGGATCAGATGATCAGTTCAAAAACGGTGAACACGGACCAAACATCATATGGTAAATCCCAATGGTGAACCACACCCCCTTCACCCATTTTTGCCATATTTCTCTTTATCTGGATCATCCAGCTCATAATCCATCGCAAATTCAACGCCCCCTGCGCCCCAGGCTTTTCATCGGTGCCACATTTGGAATATTGCGGTGCGTCCTTCCAAATGGGGCATACACCATTTTTACAACCATCATATAAAGATAGCTAAAGATAGACAAACACACACACATACATATATATATACACATAATATTCATTTATAAATAAATAAATAAATATATATATATCAAAAAAATGTACAAAAATAGATAACGTATTTTAAATTACAACAATCCACAGTTCACCATCCATTTGGATCTCCGGGCCTGGAGCAAAGTCTCAAGCTGCTCCCTCTTTTGCTCCAGGTTCTTCAGAGATCCGTTCCTTGGAGGAAGAAATCTGGAAAAATCTGGCAAAATTCTGGAAAAGAAGTTCATTCTGACATGGGGGGAATCATGATAATCATGTAATTTTTCATGTGAAAAAAAGTGTTCGTTTCCGTCAGTGACACATTAGGATTTCCCAGCCATATTTCTATTATCTTTGTGGGCCAATATCGCGCTAATAGATGTGTCTGGGTTCCAATATTGTGTCTGAAAATGGAACATTCTTCCTTACTTGATGATAATCATGCGGATTTGCGATACCAATTTTGGGGAGCAAAGGCATATGTTTACTACCGACTTACTAACCCATCTAGCACCATTTGCAACTGGCCATATTCAACGTTAAACTGGGAGTCATGGGACATTCCGTGTATACCTAGGATATTCTATATCCCATATATAACTGGTTGGTGGTTTCAACCCCTCTGAAAAATATTAGTCAGTTGGGATTATTATTCCCAATATATGGAAAAAATAAAACATGTTCCAAACCACCAACCAGATAAATGGCATTTTCTGACTATTACAGACATATTCTTACCTACTTGACCTACTTCTCACCGGAAATTCACATCCGCTCGGCATCTCTCACCGTCCAAGAGTCACATAACTCGCGGTGAGTCCCAGGATACGCGGGCATCCTCTTCAGGCAGTTGGAGAACGGCACTAAAAGCTGGGAAAACTGCGAGGTTTTTGGGAAATCACCATCAAAAAAATGGGAAAGAGACACACTTGAAACCCACCCACACCCATCACCAAAGATATTTTGGGAAGTTTTTCATGCTGACATCGCATGAAAATCAATGTGGTATGGATTGGAGCCAGGATGGGGCAATCCAGAAAGTCAAGGAAGACCCCCGTTATGACTCACACCTTTTTCTGAAGGCTTGAACAATCCGCAGGAAATGGTCGTTGCATGGAACTTTCGAACAACATCGAACCCACCAACCAGATATTTGGTTACCCCCGGTAATCAAAGGTGAGAATGGAGAATCTCCTTATGTATGGAGGTCTTAATGAAAACCAACATCTATAAATAGAACATGTTCCATTGTTCATCATGTTTATCATGTTACTGCGGGCTATAGCTTCATAGTTGCCATATCACAATATCTGCAGGTCCGATCCCCGCCAGATCGGTCCTGGTTGCCCTGAGACCTTCCACACCTCATTCCGAAGCTGGGATCCCCAGGAGAATGCACCATGGATCAATAGCACTACAGGGTGGTACCCCCTTTTTGAGTTGCTTCACAAAATCCCAGCATCGATATATATATATATATATAAACCCAAAAACATCCAAAAACCCTAGCTATTGGAGTTATAAACCAACTCCGCTAAGTATGGGGCACCCTGTATGTCTGTTGGATTAAGAAATCATCATGTTACTGGATAGTTACGGATTTTGCTAGTGAATATCCCCATAGTTAACAGAATTAGAACTTAAAATACGCGATTTTTTCCAGTAATTCATAGTGTGTTTCTGGTTCCCCCCTTTGGGGTTTTGGGGTGGCGAAAATATTCCATGGCCATCCATGGCCCATAGTTGATATCCTCAACAAAATCTAAAAAAAAACAATCTCCCTAACATTTTTTCCCAAATAATAGTCAATATTATCCATGAATATAAGTATATAGTACTTATTTCCTATCCATAAATATAAATATTTCCTATCAATATCCATAACTATTTCCCAAATAATCATAATCAATATCCATAAACCCATAACTATGATATCCCGATATCCCCATATTTTTCAATATCCATAACTATAATATTATAATATCCCAATTTTCAGCATTCATATGGGTTAACATTGTTCCAGGGCTCAGCATCTTTCATGATGGCCGCCATCGGGGAGTTGCCCGTGGCGTTGTGACACCTGGGTTGCTCCAAGCTTCACCAAAACGAACATCAAACAGTTCTTCATCATTGATGGTGGTTAATGGTGGTTAATGGTGATTAATAATGGTTAATTATCTGGCTGGTGGTTTTTCACCCGAGTTCGTCAGTTGGGATAATTTTCCATTCCCAATATGATGGGAAAGTTATGGGACATTCCATGGTTCCCGTCACCACCAAGCAGATGCCATTTCTGGAGATCAGTTAAGGCCAGTGATGGGGACCTAACCATGACAGATCCATCTGACAAGATGGGAAAACCCACCTTGTGATCAGCCGAAGTCTTGTTGGTTTCAACCTGTTTTCAGACGTTCATGGCATTCATGGCATCATCTCCATGGAATGTCCATGGAATGTCCATGGATCCGGGGCGCTCGTCAAAGATGATGATGGAAAAGTCCAAGGGGGTGATGTATCCATTCTCAACCTGAGGCCGGCGGATAACCCAGGAGGGGTTTGGCGATATTTCCTATCCAGGGAATGGAGAAACATTGGAAAAACGTGGAACAACTCCTACGGTCCTACGGTACTTTGCTGCACTTTGAGGTAGCGCATTCTGAGTCAGTCTTTGGGCACCAATGGATCTGAATTAGTGGCTCACTGATGCTTCTTCTCATGATGCTTACATACAGTATCATCACTTTATATTCACTTTATCTCATCATTTTGATGAGTTTACACTTTACATCTCAAACGGGACCTTGGAAACTCGGAAACTGCCCGTGATGCCCTCATCTGGATATCTGGCGACTCCCTAAGAGGGCTATTCAGTGACAAAAGCCACATCGCTGCCGGTTGCAACATTTCGATAAAGATGATAAAGTAAGTTCGCTTCAGCCACACAGTGCAGGAATTTTGAAACATAGTCAACTTATGCCAACTTCTATTTTTTGGGGGCCAAAAACTCACCAACCTGCACCAACCTTCCTTATCTTCAAGCCCTAGCCATACGCAGATCCAGCAGCCAAGGCTTTTCGAAAGACCTCTGGCCTTGGCATCGAATGACGACAGTTGGGGAGTTTCACCCTCATCATCCCTATTCCAAAGAGGGATACGCTGGAAAACCACCAAGAAAATTGTCAATGATGGAACCACCAAAACCCAGAGATATTTGTCTGAAGCTATCGCTAGGGATACGACCAAGATTGGGATGTTCAGATGGGCTTTACAATGGGGTGTGGAGACGCATTGTTTGCACCACGACTTCTTCGTCTTCCGTTTGGATCGGTCCCTACTTTTGTCTCTCCAAACGAGGACCACTTTGGGGGCTCCCCAGTCTTAGAGAACGCCAAGTCAGCGAGGAACGTGCCCACCAAAATCTCGTTCTCGCACACACATTGCCGCCACCTGCCAAATCAGGGGAGTTCCCAACAACCCATCGGAAGCCTCAATTGGGATCATCTAAGTGGTTCGAAAATGGACCTGTCTGAAACCACCCAAATCAAAGCCACTGAAACTGCCCCGAAAAACAGACTTAGAAAGAAACATGTCACGTCACTCTCACTCTTAATCCAAATCTATTGTGTTCAAAACTCATCAGGGTGGTGAATGAGCTGCATCTGCAGGATTTGGTCACAAATTTGGGAATGCGTAGACCCAGGTGGTGCAGCAGGGGATTCGCTTTGGGAAATTTCGGAATCTTGGCGCGTTTAGAAAGTTTAGCAAACGTGAAGAACTGTGAAGAACATATCCAATGAAACTTAGCCTCAAGACAACGTCCTGTGTTATCTGTGTTAGCTTGAGTTGCTTCCGTCGTAAAACCCCATTCTTGGCTAGTTGAACTCCCATGTCTCTTGGTGAACATGCCCCAAGTCTTGTTGATTCACAATGAGCACTGAAAATTGTGGCTTGTGATGAACCATCCCATGATTTCATCTCATGGATCAATGGAATGCTTGGCTTATCCAAAATCCTCGGTGGAAAAAAAACAGAAACTTGTCCTTGTGGTGTACAGTCATCCCTCAAAAAGATCGAAAAACAAAGTCCTTCTAAAACAGCGGTGAATTACTCTTCGATCGTTTTTGGGGGATACTATGGGTTACTATGGCGGCTTCAAACAACCAATTACTAAACATATCTAAACATGATGGATGAATCATGATTAATCTGGTGCCATGAACATGGATCCTTTCTGACTACGTGTCCCACATGGTCCCGGGGTCCCAACCGGGGTCAACCGGATCGATCCAGGTGGATCCACCCGGTGGATCCAGCAGCGGCCTGTCTTTCCCCCAGCTGTCCATCTCGCCACCAGACAGCTCCACCACCAGACGGCGATGCTGACATTTCTCTCGGCAGTACTTGGCTTGCTGCTCCACCAAGACGCCTAGGCATGGGACCAGCTGGAGCCATCAAGGATCAAACTCTGTGGGTGGATGGGCCCATTGTCCTTTTCGGAGATTTCAATGTTGGCCCGAAACAATCCCACTCAAATGCCAAGCTGCCGGCTGGAATACGTCCCCAATTTTAGTTTCCAGAATATTGATCATCCCAATCATCATTTTCATCTGGTGCTCAGCTAACCAAGTCCGAAAGATATAACTTGACCAAATTTCCCAAGGACCGATCATCAATCGGTGATGACATGTGATAACATGTGATAACATGTGATAACCACAGTTTTGAAAGGACAAAACACAGCATGATTTCTTGGTGTCATCCCCCGATGCAACGCCGCGTTTCGTGGTACCAAGGGTCGAGTGGGCACAGCGAAGATCGCTTTGCCCCTTTTGGCCAGAAAATGATCCTGTGGGATTCACTGGTGCAGGGGGAACATCTCACAATTTTATAGTGGATTTATCCATTAAAAATGGTGATTTTCCACAGTTAATCTATGGTTAATAATGTTTTTTTGATGGTTAACCAATATCTATATGATTTTGAATTTGATCTCAAGCTTCACAGCTTTTGACTCTGCAGGAGATAATCACTTTTGACACAAAGGATTGAAGGTTTACTGATGTTTTTATCGTGGAATCGTGATGCAGAAGGAACGCAGGGACAGGAAACCATTTCGCTTTACCCGTTTGGAAACCAGGTGCCACATCTACCTGCAGATCAATGCCAACATGAACACGAGTATCCTCTGGGAGTTTGGCATAGCCATGGAAAATGGCCTATTTATAGATTACTTACCTATCAAAATCTATTAAACATGGACATTTTCCATGGCTATGTTAGATTACCAGAGGGTTTATTACACGTTGATCAACAGTCGATCCATGGTTGAAAGCAACGCGCATGGTCAAATCACCATTGAATGGTTACCGCCAGTACGAGGAGGATATCTCCGATTTTGCTGCTGGGGCATGGTTATCACCATGGAGATGAAAACAAGTAGATAAAAACGAACAAAACAATAACATATTTCAACTACAAGTGGCTAAAGAATAGCTATAACTAATTATCATGATAGGATAATATATATATATATGATAATCACATTATCATTGTTGTGATGCTAATAACCATCATGATTTTCATATTCCTGTCATTGATATGTTCAAACCCTCCACAAAATCTCCGTGATTTTCGAGGCTCAAGAGCCAAGACGGCCACCAGGGTCTTTCCGCCACCTGCTGGCCAGTTGGGGTTCAACTAGTTGGGGTAGCCAGGTAGCCATGGGATACCCCGCGGTAAATTTCCAGTGCTTTAGATATCAACATATACTTGGAGGATGCATCACTGAAATTCTGATTTCTTCCGAACCTAGAGAAATCATCCAATGTTGCGTTATTTCCAATACTACTGAATATTCGAATATCCCACCTAAATTGCTTACATCTGCCGGGTCAAAATCCTGGTACCTAGCTGAACATCAAAACTGTTGGTAGATGGACGTTCATGCTCCCATTCATATCCGACAAAAACGGATAGTAATAGGCTTTGGTCCCATCCGGCAAAATTATCCACACAGCTCGCAATTTTTCTTTGGTTCATCTCCATTCTACTCGCTTCATATCCGGTAGGTTCTTGTTGGAGACCAACCAGTAGCCGGTTGGATGTTCAGTTCCCTCCTACATGGATTCATCATACAAGGTGGTGCCCTAGTTGTGTTGTTGTCATTTTTACTGATGCAACTGGCATCCCATTTGGATCATCCCCAAATATTTGAAACCTCCAGTTAGCAAGCCCAAAATAGATAGAGTGGGACACCTGGCAATATGTCCTGGAAACACGTTTTTGATCTTTTCTTTGGGGATGGCTATAATGTGGAAAATCCATGAACATCATCATGTTTTGTTGACCCATCACTGCCTGTGGGCATGCTGATGATGGTGTTTCCTTTCTTGATCTTTTCCAAGCATTGCAGCTGATAATCTCGTGGCTGCAGCGTCATGGCGACCTTTCTACGAGCTTTCTACGTTGGATTTGTTGAGCCTCAACAAATCCATGGCGTCAACTGGGATGATCAGAGCTGATTGTCATGAGCAACTTCAACAAGTGATGTCTGCCCAAACTTCAACGGAGAGATTCGGAGAGATGTCAAAAGTAGGTTCTGTTGCGCACGAGCCACTGCGGAGCCACGGACAATACTGTGACGCGAAGTTTTTCGATCCAAAATGCCAAAGGTTCCACCCCCCAAACCAATGGTATCCAATGATCCGTTCCATGAGATGTTCATGTAGATTTTTCTTTGGGAGTTTCCCGCCATACCGGAAATCTTGTCTCCTCACATCTCCAACGGCTCTTCCAAACAGGGTGAGACTTCGAACGCAGCCGTGCCCAGTGGTCGTTTCCACCAAATCGAGTGGTTGAAGATTTTCGCTGTGGGAAACATGGGCCCACCGCGTGCCCTGAATGGTGACCAGTGAGGTGACGATATTCTGCCTTGAATGGCGAACGGTACACGAATCAGAACAACATAATCTGACAGGTATTTTGGTATTTTAATGGTATAGGAACAATATCCTGGAGGGTCCTCCATGGATTTCTTACAATCCAATAAAATTTAACGCCTAGATTTTTAATCAGTGGCACGATGCACAGCTGAGGGGTTGCGAGATATCTTCTCTGGCGTCCTAAGAACCCAAGGTTAAGAAACCCCTGGGCCCGCTGTTTAAATGGCGGGAGGGTACCATTCCAATCAATAACACCCCTAATCAACCAGAGTTTATTTTTTTTCGGGGTTGGCCTTACGAAAACATTAGATCAAGATGGAATCGCCCATCAGTTTGGTTATTTTGGCAGCCTCAGGAAGCCTGCTGTCCCCAGCGACAACCCCCTCAACACGGCAGAGATCAGGAAGATGCCACTGAGCTGTTTGTCTGCCTTGGAAAAGGGCCAGCTTTGAAATCAGCAATCATAGTGCAGCATCTTAAGACTGAAAGTTAAATATATTATGAAAAAACAACCATCTACAGGATATTAGTATATAATATGTATAATATATAATATATCATATATATCAAATATATATATATCGAAAAAAATATATCAAATATATATATATATATAATATCATATATATCATATATATATATATTAATGATTAATGACATTCCTTTCATGGGGGGTATCTATTCCGATGCGAAACATTGGGGAGTATCATCCCATTCAGCCACTGGCACCAACCCATGGTGGATCCCCCGATCCGCCAAGGGACATCGACATGCTCCGGGTGACGCGGTTGGGGTCTTTGGACTTCTCGGGTCGGTTGGGGCTCTCACGCTTCAACTGGGCAAGATCCCGCAACTGGCAGCTAGATTCTCTTAGCGTAATTTCTGTACTCTGGAAATTATGGAATTTGGGAAACTCAACTGAACATATCCAATTTCACCCAGCACTCCTACAAAAAAACAATTGTATTTATCTTGGCGAGGTTTTTTCTGTAGGTCTCACCACATCCCAGGACTTTACCATGGAAAACATGGCGCCCGGCTGGCGCCCCCCCAAAAAAAAACATGCTGAGGCCACGCACCGCACTGATGCTGCTGCTGCCTGAAATTTCATAGTCCTCGGTTTTGGGGATGCTGCAGATGCCCTCAGAAGCCCCTTTTTTGTCAAATTTCAACAGCTACTGAAAGCTGTTGAATATTTTTTGTGGCCCCTGATTTAAGATCAACTAGGGCACAAAAAATCCTTGGTTGACATTACCCAGTTTCATCCCAAGTGTTGACAACAGGCCTTCTGCCACTGGAAAAAAACTACCCACTGATGGGGGATTTGGTTGACCAATCATAGAGTTTGTTTGGGGTACAAAATGCTGCCGTCCAAATGACCATGCTACCGGCATCCACTGTTGGCATATACAGTTCTGCAGACCCTTGGTTTCCCCTTCGACCCAGAAATGGTGGACGCTCGAAGTCCAAACCTGCCAGCCCTTGGCTCAATCTAACGGCAATTAGAATCACTTATATAGCTGGTTGGTGGTTTCAACCCCTCTGAAAAATATGAAAGTTAGTTGGGATTATTCCCAATATATGGAAACATAAAATTCATGTTCCAAACCACCAACCAGATAGGATCTCCTTTGTATTTTAACACTTTCCCTTAAACCTATCCAGTGGGATGATGGCTCGGCTCGGTATTTCTGGAAACTTCTGGGCGTTGAATCCCAGCATTGACGCTGAAAAACCTTCTGCTGTTGCCCTGGGCCTAACAAAAATGACCTCCAGAATGCATGGTTTGCCACTAAAATTTGCCAACTTGGTCAGCCCAAATAACTACTACCCATGTAATATCATATCATATAATATCATATCATAAACCGAATCAGCTTCCGTCCCAATAAAATCGACTACTAGTGAACATACCACACACACATCCTATCAAGATCCCATCCTGTAAAAAGGGCCCCATGGAGCCTCCATCATGTTGTAGCTTGAACCATACTTGTCACTCTCAGCTCGCAATCTGTGGACCTTCTGCGCGATGGTTTTTTGGGATCCTTGGGATCCACAATTTCAATGGCCCTGTAATGATGAATCAAAGTATGGTGATCATCAGCACCAATGAATAAAACCTGAAATCCACGATGTCTCAACAATTCGGCTGATCTGTGGGGAGGATTTTTTTTGGGGTTCAACCAATGGGCCAATGGGGATGGCAGCAATGGAAACATGGATGGGATGCAGATCGCCTTTTTGACCTCGGCTTCTGGGGTTTGGATCACCACATCGGCATTCTTGGCCTCGGGTTTTCTGAAAAACCCTGGTCAAGATTGGGAAAAGGATGGCTGAGATATGTTGAGATCATTGGCTTTACAACATGATCAACGAACATCACATGATATCAACTGACATCATATGTTTGGAAGGGGTCATTGAATGATTATCAGAACAAACATGGAAATCCCGCGGTGACATGTCACATTGGAATATCATCAGTATTGAACACTTAAATGATGATGTCGCTTTTAAATTTTCCGGTGCTTTTCAGAATCTATGTCCACGCCTGCTGAGTCACCAGCTCCAGGAGATGGAGGATTTCATATCGATCAGCCATTTATGGCACAAGGAATGTCTCGTAATTAAGTACAATGGAACTTTTCATACAATCATGGCAAATCACGTAGTATGATTAGTATGCATCTGTACATAAACGTAAAACCATATAGCGCATCTATAGATCTGCCAATTCTAATCCATGTGATGGCAGCTATTCATAAACATCCACAACTATCATTGCCTCAACCATGACGAGACCACCTGTTGGTGCAGAAAATATGGTACCCGCAAATCTGATGATCATAGTTTCTACCGATGAAACTTGGCATGTCTTCGGCTATCGTTCTTTTTAGACAAAGTCATTTAAGCACAGCCACAAAGATGTTTGAACCTCCTTTCCAATCGTTGGTATCGTTGGTTAATGGGATTCCCCGGAAATGTGGTAATCCCCGTCATATTGGACCGTATCACCCCGAACAAATCATCACCCAATTGAAGTGTTTGAAATCGCTCATTTTGGGGCTTTCCATGGCCCATGCGGCCACATGGTTCCCCCCCGAATGAACCGTAGCCAATCTGAGATGTTTTTGCCCTCCCACTTTCGGAAACTGATAGCAACCCCAGCACCCCCCCCCCCAGAGCAAGAAAAAGCCAACGCATCTTCAAGTCAAATGAATTCATGCTAAATTATAGCAACCAGCCGAAAAGATAGAACAATAGGAAAAGATCATGGAGTATGGTGGACATATCTTCCATACCATCCTGGAAACACAACTTTCTATCTTTTTTGGGCTTGCTATAATGATATATAGTGATCTACAATGATCTAATGATCTATAATGATCTCTATATACTGTAAATTAATTAACCAAGTTCAACTTCCCATTTCCAGGATCCAGATTTTTCCCCATGAAATCTAGGGGTCATAGCCTGCTCCTCATGCTCCACACCCAGCTTGGCCATGAGGGCCGATAGCTCCACACGCAAGTTACTGGCCTGCAGAACAGGTGCCGTGTATAATTCTATTTATTCCCCACCTGCCAGGTGAGGGTTGTTAGATTTTATGTCAGTTGCCTCCTCGTCCTCCTCCTCCTTCTCCTCCTCCTCCTCCGCCTCCTCCTGCCTCGTCCTCCTCTCCTCCTCCTCCTCCTCGTCCTCCTTGTCGTCCTCGTCGTCCTCGTCGTCCTTGCTCGACTGCGACCCGCGATCCACAGTGTTCTCTGCCGGACCTCAACCACGACCACCCACGCCCAGTGTTCCCTGCCGGACCTCAACCACGACCATCCACGCCCAGTGTTCCCTGCCGGACCTCAACCACGACCATCCACGCCCAATGTTCCCCGCCGGACCTCAACCACGACCATCCGCGAGTATCCACGCCAAGTGTTCCCTGCCGGACCTCATGTAGGAAGATATGGGACAAAGAATGTGCAGAAGAAAGTTAGAAAGAATGTCAGATCATGCCAGATAGAATGCCAGAAGATATGCCAGATAGAATGCCAGAAGATTTGCCAGATAGAATGCCAGAAGATTTGCCAGATAGAATGCCAGAAGATGCCAGATAGATGCCAGAAGATTGCCAGATAGAATGCCAGAAGATTTGCCAGATAGAATTTGCCAGATAGAATGCCAGAAAATATGCCAGAAGATATGCCAGATCATATGCCAGAAGATATGCCAGAAGATATGCCAGAAGATATGTCAGAATATATGCCAGAAGATATGCCAGATAGAATGCCAGAAGATATGTCAGATATATAGAGTGCCAGAAGATATGCCAGATAGAATGCCAGAAGATTTGCCAGATAGAATGCCAGAAGATATGCCAGATCATATGCCAGAAGATATGCCAGATAGAATGCCAAATAGAATGTCAGAAGATATGTCAGATAGAATGCCAGAAGATTTGCCAGTAAGAACATGTATAAATGTCATGGTGGGGATCACACGAAGTAAAGTAATTTATTTAAATATTTATATATATATATATTACACTTATATTATGATGGTGATGATGATGATGATGGTAATAATAGTAATAACGTATCACAATGTATCACAATGTATCATGACATATCATAATGTATCACTGTGTATCACTATTTCAGGATTGGAGTATTGGATTTTCATCTGAAATTGGATTCGAATACCCATCAACAGAATCAATAGCTCAAAATGAAGATGAATCAACGGGAAAAAACTGAACAACTTAAATGGATTGATCTAGTTCTTGAATGGTTGAAATAACATGGTTCAGAATGACAATGAATCAAGGTAAATAAGCAACTTTGGAATTTCAACAGCCAGAATTTACATTCATGAATTTATGAATGAACATAGGGGTACAACCAAAAAAAAAAGAAGGCTTATACAGTGGGAATTGACATGAATTCTGGCGAGGTCGGGCATCTCAACAGACCTCGGTCTCAGCCATGGTGGTCTTGTCATACTCCTGTGGGCACAACAGAACTGGGTAACTGGGCCAAAAGCCATGTCGAAATTTCGAAGTTCCGAAACTGACTGCCCTTTCCAACACCGAAGATTTGGGGATTCAGTCTTGTTCATCTTCCCATTTGTGCAGTCCAGGTGTAGTAACAGCGGAGACCGCCAATTTTGGAGAGCACAAAACCGACGGCTACAAAATTTTGCATCCCTGGCCATCTGGCCAAAGTATTTCATTGGAATTGCTGTCATCAATTTCTGGCAAACTTGCTTAGAAAATTCGAGAAATATCCTTCAGTTGTGACCTGACCTTCCTCGGTTCTCAGTTCTGTCTCTGGTTCCTCCTTCAGCTTCTTCCTCGCTTCCACCAACTGACAAGTTGCACAGGTCGATTGCTGAAATTACTTGGACCTTCAAGTGGAACTGAATAAACCTTGTGAAAACCTTGTGAACATAGGAAATACCACGAAATAACCATGTATCAACTGTACTTCAACTGTACTTCAACTATCCGTAACTATCCCAGGGTTATCAAACATGAAAAACAACAACGATGGAAAACGGTCAAACGGTCCAGCGGATCATCCCAATGGGGGAATTCATCAATTCATCGATTCATCGCCTGACGAAACTTTCCCTCCAGTCGCTCTTGCGTGGCCTTGGGACAGTTTCAGACGTAGGGCTCAAATGGGCTCAGCATCTCACAGGAGAGGAATGCTGAAAAACCAGGAACATGAACTTCCAATGAACATGTAATGGGTTTACATGGGTTTATCATGTTTATATGGCTTTATCATGTTTATGATGTTTATCTCAGTGGGAGTGGCTGGTATCACGACTCGGCACGTATGAATTTTCAAGTTCAAATCACCACCAGTCACGTGCTTCCGGGCCAGCTGTCGTGTTCGAAGGCCGTCCATGGATTCACCTCAGCTGATTCCCATCATGGCTCCTGTGATTTCAGTGGGAAAAAGATTATCACCAGCAATGGTTAACCACTATGGTTACTAATGGTCAATATATGGTTAATATATGGTTAATAATAATCTGGTTGGTGGTTTAAAAACCATCTTGAAAAATATGATATAGTCATGAGTTCGTCAATGGGAAGGATGACATCCCATATATGAAATGGAAAATAAAATTCATGTTCCAAACCACCAAGCAGTATGGGTGGTATTTCCATCTCACTTTTTCGGTATTTGATCAACATGCTGGAAAAGCGGCAACTACTCATGCCGCAACAAGCATCCCATTTTTCGGCACCCAACTCAAGTTCAGAAGGAGTTCCTCCACCGCTTTGCTGGAGGTCCTGTCAGGTTGAAGTTGGCATCTGAGCTTTTCAGGAACCCAACTGTGAAATCTGTGGAAGTGAAGCAACCTGGATGACCCAATATCTTTAATCCAATTGACCCAACATTTGAACAACCGGTTCTTTTCAAACACATTTGTTGTTTGGGTGTAGCTAACCGCGCCCAAACCCCTGGAAAGACAGGCACCTGATTTCGTGGCCCAGTTTCAGCAAGGACCTGCCATTGAAATCTGCGTTGAAATCACAGTTTGTAGCTTTCTATTTGGACGATTTTTGAAGAACACATCTATGGCGACCAATGGAAAACAAGTGGTTGTTTATTTGGATCCTTTGAACTTATTTTGAATACCCTCTGGTTATTTAACATAGCCATGGAAAATCACCATTTTTAATAGGTAAACCATCTATAAATGGGCCATCTATACCATGGCTATGTTAAATAACCAGATGGTATGTTTAATCATTTTTCCACGAGGAACGGACCTGAAGATCCGCACCATTCTTCACCTATGGGTGTCAACTGGTCTGCAACATGTGTTGGGATGTGAACTTTGCGGACCTGAGGTCACAAGAGACCCAACGACCATGTCAGGTGGAGCCATACTCCATTCATTTTGACTTGCAAAATAGCCATGAAACATGTGGTGTCTCCCCAGAATTTCGTTTCAAAAACCTCATCACATGATAAACACATATGTTAAACACCCCATATTTCTGGGACATCCGATTTTCAACCCTTTCTGGGGGCGGTGGTTCCACGTGGTTCTCCAACCCAGCTGAGCCCCCACTTGCCGCTGATGGGTTCGTTCAGCCACTCAAAGCCCACCAAGAATTCCTGTGGAATGGCTGGATTTTCGCTGTATCTGTTGGATTTGGTTTTCCGTGTGAAGTCAAAAAAATATATGATTTTATACATTTATATGATATTGTATCATACTGGGTAATTCATCTTCGATGCAAGATTTGGTTTCAATTCTGTTGACTCAACGAAGGCTGGCTGATCCGGGCCAAGAGTGATAGGATGTCCCTAGACCCACTTGTATCACCTTCAACTATGATCCACTCATTCACGGCATGCCTGACCATATATGATTCTAACACAGCCATCATTGGTTGAAAGTCGGATACCTAATAATATGATATTTAGATGTAGTTTATCATTCTTGCCACTAACTAATGGTTTTCACATATATCGAGGTTTCTGAAGTCACTGGGGAACCCCCAAATCATCCAATCATTAGACCATGACTTAGTATCGAAACAACCATGGTGACTTGGGGATCCACCATTGTAAGAAAACCCCATATTCCCACAGTGGATGGAAGAAATCCTGCATCACCTTGAGTGGTTGAAACCCTGTAAATAATAGGATAAACCAGCTATCAACTGGTGTAGGATTTATTACCACTATTTTATCCTAGAAATATATTTAGTATACTATAGTACCATTGATTTCATCCCAGTCATGATTATATCATTCGTACCATTAGTATCATAAGACGATAAACCACCTATAAACATCGTGAATCTTAGATACCAAACAATCTAATCTTGTGCTTAGGACTAGTTTTACCACATTTTACCATAGCAACAGATTGTCGACTCAGGTGGTTTATTTCATTGGGTTTATCCCATTGTTATAGTAGCATTTATCCTCATACCATTGGGTTCATCCCAGTTATTGTTATCCCATATCATTTGTAATAAAGGTAAATAATATAATATATATTACCATTGTTATAGTGGAATATTGCCATTGTTTATAATGGTTTATCCCATTGTTATAGTGCCACTTATAGATAATCATATAAAGAATGGATAGACGAATAATATACAATGGATATACTAAACAATGGATAGCCATTGTTGGGATAATATATAATCATTAACCGTCATTAACCATCATTAACTATCATTAACTATACAATGGATATGATAATATACCACTATTGACGTATAACATCATTAACTATACCATTATTAACCATCATTAACTATCATTAACTATACAATGGATATGATAATATACTACTATTGACGTATAACATCATTAACTATACTCATTAACTATCATTACCTATCATTAACTATCATTAGCTATCATTAACTATAAACCATCTGTAAATCATGGGACAAGCCCATTCTTCTGGCACCATGGTTGCCATGGTTCCACCTGGAACTCGATGAGCCCATTGTGATCCACCTGACACCAACATCTCATCCCAAAAACAAGGATTTCATGGGATTTCCCAGGGGGGAACATTTTCATGATTTTTTTATTTTTTGTCCGATGATCTGTTTTGATGATTTTGATATTTTTTGATGATTTCCCCATATGTTTTGATGATTTTTCTGCCAATAAATCGCTGACCGGATGACCACCCAGATGTTTGGGGTCAAAGCCTCGGCCGATAACGAGAAATGTGATGTCTGGGGTAACCAACCATGATTGATCATTATGCTAGGTTCCAATAGGAATATTACATCAATATTATCTGGTTGGCGGTATACCGACCCCTCCGAAAAATATGAGTTCGTCAGTTGGGATGATTTTCCATTCCCAATATTTTCTGGGAAAGTCATGGGAAATTCCATGGTTCCAGTCAGCACCAGATAGATGGCAACCAACCATTGAGACCTCCAAAAAAATGATAACCATGTGGCAATCATCATAAGTCCCATGATTCTGGAGTGACCATTATAAGACCATGACATACTGTAACCATCACCCAAGAGGCCATTTTTTAACCCGATATAAACCATCTATAGTTCTTTTATTATTATGGGCCTCTATCGGTGCTCTGAGAAAAGCCATGTTTATAACATCTGTAACCAAGAATTCTTATAACCAAGAGGCTCACATTTGCGCAGAAAGCTGATCACAACCATCCTGAGCTGCCGACATCTAAGATGTCGAACATCTGCATGAGATCTTGCATCGGCACCTTGGCGACCTCCAGATTTTTTCAGTGGAGACCAGTGGATGTCCGACAAAAAATACCTCAAGATTTTGGGGAGCCAGAGTCATCCATGTCACGTCCTTTTTTGATGAAAGACTCCACTAGAAACCCATCTGATGTACAACCCTGGGTATTTCACCCAATCCAAGGTTTATGTCGTATGATTTTATGATACATTCATCAACATGGAGGGAATCCGATGAATTTTATGTAATTATGTGTGTATATATATATGGGTAAATTATAGTATTTCACTAACCAAAATTAAGGCCATTTTGGGATGATTCCCCTTATTAACCAGATATATGTATTGATCGATATGCTTTTTCTCGGATTCAATGAGCATTGCACTTTTGTTGGATGCCAATCCAACCTGGCCTGCTGCAAACGCTTCAGGTGAAAGGGTGACCTTGGACCGGAGGGCACATCGTTTGAAGCCATAGCCATGTGGCATATGTGGCATATGAGCATGGCATGAGGCTGTTTCCTGTAAATCCCGCCAATAAATTCTTCAAAGTTCTTCAGATGTGGAAAAAACATGGTTCCCCAAGGAATGTTATCTTTCATTGGGTTTCTACATCTGGTTAATTTAAGAGAGGGTACATCCCCAGTCTAGCAGATGTCAGATGTGACGGCCAGCAATATATTCATGTTTATAAATGAACCCAACTTCTATATAGCTGGCTATATGCCATGTTCATCCCGTTTACAATTTTAGTTTTTAAAGTTCAATTCAGATGTTTGACCAAAATTTGGTCCATGTTTAGCTCCCAAAGGCTTAAATCTCAAAATCCTATTCATCAAACATATACATACATATGTAACATATATATATACATATATACATATATATATATATACAGTATGTATAAATGGATATAAATAATACATATTCCCCTCAGAGATATCTTGGATATTGCTGGATCGGGATTCAGATCCCCCATTCTGTCTGAGCGGCTTCAAGAGCTCCCGGTATTCCTCACGTTCCAGGGTCATGCTGCCGTCCTTATCCGCTGCGGCAAAGACGCCCCGCAGCCACCTGGTTGAAGATGGTTTAAGCAGCAACAATTCGGATTTGTGTCCGAACATGGGGAATTTCCCAGAGAAATCAGGGATTTTGATGGGGAAAATGATGATGATTTCTTCAACAATCCATCCTTAAACTGTTCACCGAAATCGAGGAATGCAAGGAATCGATGCGACCCCCAGCATGCTTCCTCCGAGGAAAAAGAATGCGACATCTAAATCACCTTGCTGTAAGTTGTAAGGAGAAACATGAAACGATTTGATGCAATACCAGGCCTGAAACTGCGAGGGTGGCTTGTGGCGCTGTTGGAATAGCCAGCGGGGGCACTTATCAAATTGTCAATACATTCTACAAAGTTCTTCCGCTGTGCGATCGTCAGCAAATTTAGGTTTAATTCAATGGGAGTCTAGATGTGGCGAAAACCCCAAATTTAAAATACCCCAAAACATCTGACCATTTCTGAAGTAGCAGGATGATGTTTAATTTTACATCTTGCCGGGGAAACCCGATCATACCACATCTGGGGAGAAACATGTAGCTATACAAGAGGTATTAATTTTTGACGTAAAATCTAGTCCTGCCTCGAAATCTGGACACCCCAAATCCCATAATCATATCATCATATTTCCCTTGAAAAATGCCATGAATTCTTGTTCATCCAAAAAAATAGCCTCTGGTTATTTAACACTAACAGTTCGCCATGGAACATCACCATGCTATTAAGAACGGTAAACCATCTATTTCTATGGGCCATCTATACCATGGCGAACTGTTAGTCATAACCAGAGGGTAGTTGTTTTCTTCCTACAAAAAACACAGTCTGATGAGCTTGCGCCTGGCCACCCAGATGCGGCGCTCTTCAACTGCCTACCAAAAAGGGGAACATTGGAGGCGGCTGGGGAAACCATCGAGAAATGGGATAACCTGGATAACCAAGGTTTAACTATGATGTATGGTAGATATAACTATAGTTAATTGGGGTTTTGTTATGGTCTATAAACCAACTTATAACTGGGGGGCCCCATCCTGTAGGATGGTTGTGGATTTTACGATCGAAACTATGAGGGACGCTTGGTTTCACCGGGCTGTGCCATGGTTAGCAATCGACCAAGGTCTCAAGGTATTCCACTATCTTGAAAGATGCACCCCACTTCAAAATCATCCCACTACTGTCCCAATATTGATCATAGTAATCCTACACCGAAATGATACGAAGTCCCATGACTTCTGCGTAGATTGTGCATGCTTAGGAGCTATTCTACCAATCTTGCGTTGTTTTTTTCCCATGCTGCGAGTGGCTGTCACCATCCCAAATTTCAAATCATAAACACGACATATTCAGAAACACAAATGATATATGTAAATACACATATACAGTCAAAGATCTGCTTACATATCCGAATTTTCAGTTGTACCTATAATCAATATATCATTCATCTCATTGACCAGCAATATAACGTATAAAGGCACGACACAACTATATTTATTATATGTAATATATAGCAAATATATGAAATGCCCTCTGGTAATTCAACATAGCTATGGACACTAGCAATTTCTAGTAGCTAAATCATCACACTAAATGGCCATCTATACCAGAGCAAACCGTGAACATACAGGATGGTAACCATGTAACCCGTTGTCATCCCATTATCATCCCATTCTCATACCATTATATCCCATTATGATCTCATCATTTTCCCATTCTCATCCCTCTTAGCCCACAAATTCGTATACTTTCTGGGATGAGATCCCATGAATCTACCCTGATCGGCCACCTCCTCGTCCTTCTGCGCTTGGGATTCTCGGACGGACATCATGTTGTCGCTAACCAACTGGGAAAAAATGGAGCTGGGAGTTTTCATTGGGACTTGGATGCTTCATATAACCACTTATAGATGGTTAATCATGGTTAATACACTGGTGAACACTGGTGAATCATGGTTAATAGCGGTTAGTAATTGTCAATAATGGTGAATAATTGGAACCACTCTTAACTAAAAACTAACCACTATTAACCATGATTACTAACCAATTATTGGTGATATTTGGTCAACCAATTGTCACTAATGGAAATATGGGGGTTTCTTAATGGTGATTTGATGGAATTTCATGGGATAGTCATGGGGGGTTCCCCAAAGGTTGCTGATCCATGACGTGGAGTAGATTTGGGTGTGCCCCCATGGGGAAACCACCAAAAAATGGGAAACAGATTGGAAAAAACATGGAAAACTTTCGGGACATGTGGAAACTGTGGAAACTGTGGATCCGGGGCAGGAATTTGTTGCCCCCCAGACCCTCCAAGGCTTGGCGCTGGGTCAGCCCAACGCCCGTGAGGACTGACAGCAAGGCCCAGGTGGAACAAATGGTGAAGAGCACGTAGACCGGTTTGATCGCCGGGATCTGGCGCAGGAGTTGCTGGAAGGGACAATTTGGCCTGGCACTTGTTGAAATACTTTTTGTTTTTTGATTTGGGTTTTTGAAGACATTTCAAGTTGGATTATCAAGTTGGATTCCTGATTCCCCACTTGAATCCTGCTGGAGGGATTTCAGCAGTGAAATTCGATTGAGGGGGCGATGCAGATACTAAAAAACCAGTCCATCAGCCTGCTCCCAATTCACCATCTGAGTGGAAGCAGATCATTTTTCACCAGCCATAACCTGCTCTTCAAAATTGGGGGAAATGGCTCGCCTTGTCGAGCAGGGGTCCCATGGCTTCCCAGTTCTGCTGGTTCATGATCTGAGCAAAATGGCTAGAAACGAGTGATACAAATTTCGTCCGATGAAAATCACAATTCAAAACGGGTAAACACACACACATATATGTATATATATACACACACATCTCATTTATACGTATAAATATATACATGTCAAAATTCTGGAGGTAAATCGAAATAGTTAGCCAACTACTTCTTCGGGCGGAGATGTCACTTGCGAAGCTGGGCATGGGCTTGGGGGGATGTGCCTCCTTAGATCGTCCCCCAAAGTTTGATTGGGCACCATAGGGCACCATGGTACCCCCAAATCCATGGCACAATCCATTGGTTTCAGTTTCAAGCTTCATTTTTCCCATTCAGAAACATGCTATCGAGGCTAAATCTTCAGCACTTCATGGAGTCCCTGAGCTGCCCCACACTGAAGAGGGCACAAAAGGAATCCCCTCAGCAGCAATTCACTGTCGAGAAATCAGCCAGGCATCTGCATTACCCAGGAGGCAATTGAACATAGGCAAAATCGGCCATTTATAGATGATGTTCAATTTTTCCCGAGTTATAATTGGAACATTCCCCATTTAAGATAGATGATGTACCTGGTTTTAAGGCTGATAAAACGATTAAAACATGTATTGAAGCGAGCGATTTTCCGCCAAGCTACACATCGACCCAAAGAGTTCACGGCTCGCTGGTGGCAAGTCGGGATCTTCCTACTGGGCCCCCAGGAAGGGGATAACCATTGGACCATGGATAAGTCCAGGGCACTAGGGCCATAGCTATAAACCACTATATAAATAAGTGACTGGTTGGTGGTTTTTATGGTGGTTAATGGTGATGAATAGTGATTAATGATGGTTAAGGCTTAATAAGGATGGTTATAAGTGACTGGTTGGTGGTTGAGCCACCCCTCTGAAAAATGATGGACTGAGTTCGTCAGTGGGGATGATTTTCCATTCTCAATATTCCCAAAATTTTCTGGGAAAGTCATGGGAAATTCCATGGTTCCAGTCACCAACCAGATATATTGTTATTCCAATTATTAACCATAGATTAACCATAGATTAACCATAGATTAACCATAGATTAACCATAGATTAACCATAGATTAACCATGGTTCCAGTCACCACCAACCAGGTGATATTTCTCTGGGATGATCATCCCCAAATGGGCTGTTGGATGATACGGCCAAACGGCCATCGGTTGATGCGAGGGGTTCACCACACAAGGTCACAAATCAACAGGAGACATACATTTATTGAGTTGCCCACAGAACTATGACTATTCCAGGAAGAAGTTCGATCTTTTTCCGATTTTTCCATCTATCTTTTTGTCTTGTACGACAAACTGATTTCAGAAAAACAAGGGCGTAGGTCGTTTTACGCTGGCAAATGGCAAAACAAAAGTAACTTTGTGGACCCTTTTTCATGCAAAGGTGCATGTTTGTGCTGTTCACCCTCCCGTTATTTTGAGAACCCGGCTGGCAAGCGAAAATGGAAATGGGCCAGAAATGAGTACCCAAAAGAGTTGCTGGAAGGAACTTGGTGAATTTCCACGATGGAAATTCACCAAGCGGCGACTGACCATCCAAAGATCAGTCCCAAATGCCCCGTGCTGTCATATCGTATGTGTCTATTAATATACATTAAGATCATTTGTAGATTGTTGTTACTTGTTGTTAGATTTAAACATGCTAGATCCAGCCACCTGGCTGGCATGTGGAAGCCCATTGGGTTCGGGTTCCCTTTTTTGCGCCTGGATGAATTTCGCATGCCCTGGGGCAGAGATGTGCCAAAATCCCAATCTAATAGCTGGATGACTGGGGCTACCCCCATAGGAAACCTCCATTTTTTACATCACATAACATGCTACTGGTTTGCCTGGATGCTACGAATGGATACGAATGGCCCTTTAGCGTAAAAGCGGTTGAGCTACCATGGCAACCCACCTGATGTCCTGCTGGAGAAGCAATTTGGACACAACGCATATGATGCATCTGGGTGTATCTGAACATAGGGCACCCCAAAATCCAGTTCTCAATCATCATTTTTCATGACACACATGCCAGTTGTCCCATTCGACTGTCGGATATGGATCAACACAGACTTTTGCTGGTTATTACACTACATACCCCCATTCTTGTCTGGTTGGTGGTTTCAACCCCTCTGAAAAAAAATCGTCAATTGGGATGATGAAATTCCCAATATATGGAAAAAATAACATTCATGTTCCAAACCACCAACCAGTTGTTGATTTTATAGCACCATTCTCCCGAAGAAATGGGATCAAAACGGTCCATTTTTTGTGGACCTCAACGAAGTAAGGGCCCACCTATGGTTCTTGTAGCCAAAATGGCGAAGGCGTAGAGCGTCACCACCTCAAAATGATCTTCAGCTTGATACTGGACCGTCAAACCTTTTTTTCAAGGTTACACAAAGCAGAACTTTCAAATGTAAGGAGATCTTGAGGGTATAAAGTGCAGGGTTTGGGGAGAGTTGACGGGGTTTCATGGTGTTGCAGTATTGGGATCAACGTGAAGATTAAAAAAAACCATTCTCAAACATTCATCCCACAGTTGCCAAATGGCAGGGTCTGCTGTTGACATAACCCACATGCTGGGCGACATCCCGTTGATCGGTCCACAAGCACCCAGGGGACCCAGGTCCAACCCAGGTCCAAGAGACCAAGAAGACTAAGACCCAAAAGATGCTTTGCATGGCCTGGCGAGGTGAGGTCCCGTTGAATCCGTTGAATCCGTTGAATCAACCTGAAAATCGTTGGCTTGTCCGCTGGGTTTCCTTCTGTTTCCGATCAAAAACACTACAGTAATCTCAAGGAGATTGCCGCGATTCAGGTTTTTTCCTATCAATTTCACAGGTCGTTCCCCATCCGGTCTACCTCTGCTTGGGATGACAGTTTTTATGGGATGAAATAAGGTACCATTACTACATCATATCATAGTCACATCACATCCCAGTAATCATCATCCATCATCCCGATTCTCATCATCCCAATTACGAGGTTTATACATGTTTATACATGTTTATACCTGGCATGAGATTTATTGGGCATGATCCCGATTCTCAGCATCCCAATATCATCCCAATGATCTCTAACATAATAAATCATTGGGATGGAGAACCCCAAAGCCAGGTCCTGAGTCACTCCCAAGGCTAAGGAGTACCTGGGGCGGTGCCACTTGGAATCCTTGGAGTTTCCCTTCAGAAAATGGCACCATGATTTTTGTTGAGGATTTTTGCGAATTAGAACAGGTAATCAAAATTAGAGTGGCAGTTCTACCAATCATATTCCAATCATTGACATTCCACATTTACATCCGATAAAATACATCCAGGCTGTACCTCACAGCTGACCACAGCACGACGACGCTGAGGAGCCGACAGAGGTCGAATCGCTTTCACCAACTTCAGAAGTCGAAGGATGCGAAGCATCCTATCAAAACATTTTGGGGTGATCATCTATAGATATTGAAATAAACCATAGTAATTGATCATCTATAAACATGTTGTGTATTGTTGTGTTACCATTGGGGTGATCATCTATAGATTTTGGGGTAAACCTGACTGGTAACATCTAGAATTGGAAACTGACAATTGAAACCATCGTCTATAAGATCATGGAAGAATGTCCTATCTACTTGGTGTTTCCTCGAGAGGCTGAAGGATATGTCATGGGCGTCATTGAAAACACCAAAGATCTACCGATGCAGACGTTGGATGATGTGTTGAGGTCATCAACTTCGACATTCACAGGATCAACACTGACCAAGCTTTGATCTTAGATTCTTAGATTCTGTTCATCACTTTAAAATCAACCCGAGATCAATAGGCCGTAGAGTTTGCTACTTCAGGGACCAGCATTTCTTGGTTAGTCAGGTGGGATGGTGCCTCAGCATTCTGACCACCAGCACCAAGCGACCAAAGCCCGAGGTCGACTTGGTTCCTGCGGCTTTGGGGTGCTTTTTGTGGAGATTTTGGGGGATCTACTGTTTTGCTGGTTTATCCCATTCTTTGTAGGGTTTCAACTATTCAAGGTGGTGCAGGACTTCTTCCATCCACAGTATCAAGGTCAGTTGTGATCATGATGTCAGTATGATGTCAGTCAGTTGAAACATGTGCGCTGTCACCAAAAGTCAGCTTGGCGCAGCGGTTGCTTCGGATTCCTTCTTCACCCCTACAACATGCTGAAGATGGGTCCGATTAAGTTCACTTGGAGTCATTTGAAGCATACCACAGAGTTCCCACTCCCTAGAGAAATTCAGCACTGCTTTGCTGCACTCAAACATCTTCTTTCAGCATCTCCAGCGGTTTTCGATTGTTGAAATGGGCTGCCCGACCCAAGAGCAAGGAAGAGATGGGAATTGCCTTAGCAACCGAGGAAATCAACCATGCTGGGAAGGGTTTCGACTGCGACTGATGGGCTACGTTCAGAAATATACAACGTGAGGCATAGAAGTCTAGCATCCCAAATCTTGCACCACACCATTTGTTGGTTGAGTTATGTACCCATGGGTGCCCACCAATGCTGCGCAGATGCATGCCTTATGGCATTATGGGTGATCTGCAGATTTGTCATTGGTTAAGTGATTGTAGATCCAACAATAGTCCAAAACATTATGGGGGTATCAAGGAATCAAGTCTCCAAATCATATCTTTTCTTCTTAAACAGGCAAACCTCTCATGGTTTTCGAACTGCCCAATTCACTCATCATTTTCTCACCCCACAGGATATCTCAGGATGTCATTGCTTCACCGAAAAAAACCAGGGGTCCATCCTGGTTCCCAGACCCAAAGGTCGAAGACGCCCAGTAAGACGATGATGAAGTCCATCCAGTTCCAGAAGACGTCCTGAGGTGAATGGGAAATCATGGCGGCTTCTGGCACATTTTAGCAGGAACATCCTGGGAATTGAATGATTTTGAATCATAAAAAAGCCACACATGGAGATTTTAGGGGTGCAACTAGAGTAACTGGAATCTTTCTTGTTAGACCAACATCAGAAGTGAGGAAATCAACGGTTGATGCTCATAGCATCTTGTCCATGCCCCAAATCCTCCAAGTGACCCAGTAGCTGAGTAGCTACCCCCATATGTCTCCTTCATTCATCTGAATCCAGTAATTTCACATGGAAAATCCATGAAAATCCGAATTTTCATGGAAAAACATGGGATATTCATGGGAAAACCTGGAAATTTCATGGAAAAACATGGGATATCCATCAAATTTCATTAACCTGACGTTTACCAATCGGCCTCATCAGAGGTGAAGAAGTTTTTACAGCCTTCCAGGCCCAAATGGACCTCGGCGCTTGGAAAATCCCATCGACCATCGAGGCTGAAAAAAAAATCCGACTGTTTCCCAAAATTTTCCACAGAACTTTGCTGCAAGTGTTGAGCGCTCAGATTGGAAAATCGCTGAGTGAATTTTTGAGATCAGCCTTTGAGTGCCCAAACCATGATCTCGAAGACAAAGAAGCAGAGAATGCCCTCGCGTTCAAACTTGGGGGACCCCACATGGCAATGGTAAAGGTCTGGGGATGTTCCAGCTGCAAATGCTGTGGTAAAGCCAAGAATCGACCCTGATTTTCCCAGAAATGGGTAGGTATAAACTATGGACTCTTATCATCGATTATAGTCTATCACAAACCAATATAATCCATTGAGCGAAGTATTGTTTAAACCCTTATTATTGCTGGCTTAATCATCTATTATCGTCCATTATCATCTACTATCATCCCATTATCATCCCATTATCATCATTATCATCCCATTATCAGCCATTCTCATCTATTATCATCTATTATCATCTATTATCATCCATTATAACCCCATTATCATCCCATTATCATCTAGTATCATCTATTTAATCTATGATTAACTCCAATTGACTAACAATGAATGGGTGGCTTTACAAACTCAGCACCAGTCCTGGTTCACCCACCACCATGCAGGTTCTGGCGAGTCGGTTTCCTTGGTGAAAAGTTTTGAAGTCTCGGCAGAAATCCTGGTCGATTTTTAGAACCATTCTTGAGCAATCATATATATATGATATATAATCTATATGTTTTATATACACAGTATATACATATCAAATACATATTGTATACATACTATATACATGTTAAATACATATTATAAACATATTTATTATATACATATATACACATATATAATACTTGATCCGAAGACTCACTTAAACGACTTTTGTTGTAAGAGAACATCCATGGCAACATCTGTGAGGACAGTCAGAATCTCAGCAGGATCAGTAACTGTCAGTGCCAAGCAGCGAAACCCAACACTGCGGCGTTCAAACAGATGACGCCACCAGACAGATACTGCGCGATGAGGGGAAATTCTGGGGACCCTAAATCCCTGTGGTAACCGGAAAACCGGAAAAGAGGGATATTTCAGCATGAATCTGCCATAACTGGACTATATCCAGATCAAAAACAGAGGATATAAATAAAAAGATCATAGAAACAGCACAGACCATCCCGTCCGGATTCTATCTCCAGAATTTAACGGAGATTCTAAAAATACATAAAACAAAAACAGATAGTTTCTCATTGTATCAACATGGGAGAATAGCATCAAACAATATAATACAATTATCAAACACCAAATACAATTTCACAATTTCAGATCTAACAATACAATGATTTATCGTAGCACCAAACAGGATGGGAATGGCTCGCTCCTGGAACCAATCGTCGCCGGTCCAAACAAAGCTGGAATGTCGGAGCCTGCGAAAGGCAACGCCGCCCAGGCAGGTCACGGCTATTTCAACAGCGAAAAAAAGATGGCAATGATGGCAATGATGGAGTAGGGTCATTACAAAATGCTGATAAAATGTTGATAATATATAGGAAATATATAGGATATATAGGTGATAGATGCCCCAGAAACATGATTCGGATTTTATGGAAAAGACTCTCGCAACTCCTTCGTGAATTTGTCTAACCATTTTGGAGCGGCTGGACCAGCCACGTAGGCCAACTTCGCATATCTTGTTGGTGGACACTCCCATCATATTCGATGGTGACATCCCTCATGTATTGTTGGCAAGTTGGCTTAAAGTTCAATGGAACAAAAAACAAAAAACGTACAATATGTGTCAATCGTCATAGTCGATCTTCCATTTTCATCTACCCTCTGGTAATATTGAACATGGCCCATCTATAGTTGATTTACCGAATTTAAAGATGGTGATTTTCCAGTTTGCAAAATGTTAGTTTACCAGAGGGTATTTTTCCACATGTTTGCCCCTGGTTACAGCAGTATACCTCCATCATTCCAGCCCGCTCCATGACTTGCCCATCAAATTTTCGCCACGGGACAATCTGAAGATCCGCGACCTGCTTCACAAAAGATGAGATGAATCCCAAACAAAATCTAGGGATATTCAAACATGGGAATATCTCGGGTAAACCCCCAAGATCGTGTGGCTAAGGATTATGTTCCCCATGAAATGGCATGTGTTTTGGGTCTACGCCATGTTCAGACCCACCCATTTGTGGATCTAATACCAACAGGAATGGAGATTACACTCATATATGGGCTTCTTCAAACATGGGGATATGAAGATATGGTCAAAACGTTCCCCCGGCTTAATGGTGACAAAACAAGCAAACAGGGTATAGAACGGGACATGATCAACACGGCTTTGTTGACAGATTGGACTCATCTGCAGAGGGCCATCTCAACTCGGTTGGGATGCCCCACAGCCGAAAGAAGCTCAAGATGCCTGGCGACTGGGTGGATTAGCTGAAGGTGAAATTGAAAAAGGTGGAATGCCCCACTTGAAAAGCTTCATGCTGAATGGGAACCCTCTCAGCGAAAGTTTGGATAACTGAAGGTGACATTGACCTTCTACCCTCGAGAGAATTGAGTAAAACATCGTGAAACCATCTGTGTTGACGTTGGGCATCCAGATAGCGGAGATGAAATGCCACTTCGGGCATTTTAACTGCAACATGATCTGGGACCTGGAAACTTTAGGACAAACTGCTTACCTTCTGGCCAGTTTTCACAGAAATGGGTGCACTAAAGCCTCCCAGATACTGAAGGTTTATCGTTGGGTTTACCACACTGACGATACACTGAACTTCTGCGCGAGCCATGTCGCACGACCCTGGATGCCACACGTGTGGTCAAAAGCAAACATATTTATACTTACCTTGTTAGCATCCTGTTTCAACCATAAGCTTTCGAAGGCTAGATTCCTAGATTCACTAGATGACAAACGTGATAGGTCTGGTGACCATGGACTCTTTTCTACATCAGAAAAATCGTCCCATGTCCCAATCTGTTGGGATCTTATGATCTTTATGTTTTTTTCCAGGCCAAGCTCAACATATCACCTGTCACTGGAAAAAAAGCCCGCCTATATATCTCAGCTGCTCCGGTTTCATGAAAAACGGCAATACCTTAGGCAAAACACCGGCAAACGTTGGGATAGAAATGGCCAGAATGTTGAAGTGATATGCCATGGCTATCTTTCAGAAGGCCTTCTGAAAAATGGCCAGAAGGCCTTCATGGCGATCCATGGTGATCTCACATCCCATGCTGAGACACCGAGGTCTGAATCAAACCCAGGGCGACATTGACCTCGGGAGGCGGCTGGTCCCAATGAGTTCGATCTGGAAAGGAAACTGAACAACCCATCCAAAAGGGGACCTATCGGACCTATCGATCTGAGTACAAAAGTATAAGAAGTACTTCATGAAATATAGTTCAATAACAGTTCACATATTTCACACATATTTCACACATATTTCACACATATAAACAGTAGTTGAACAACAACGGATCGAACAACAACCAGTGCCTAAGAGCTTCTGGGGCGCTGCCTGGGCCTGGCAGAACCTGAGATTTGTAGATTCAGACTTTGGGATCTCATATAGTGACATAGGGAGGCACATATATATATATATGTCATGTGCACAATATGATATTATATGTATTTGTACAGTATGGTGATTTAATGTGATATATACTGTCTGTATATATATAATTACACATGTAGTGTATCAGCGCCATCCTGTGCGTTTTTCCAACATGTCCTGCTTTAGATGATCCACTGCAACTGATTTGGGGCTCCCCAACCGTCTCGATGATGTTGCAGGTACGCTCCTGCATGGGAGATGGGAACCCCTCGGGATGTCTGATATCAATCCACCAGCAGGATCACACTTTTCCCAAGGAAGATGGGCTACATCGATTGTAATTTCACAGGCTCAACGAAAAACCATTCCAAAGGAGTCGGAGGGAAATCCAGTGAATCACAGGGGTGTGGCTCTCGTTTCATGGATGAAGCATGTTGAAGCCGTTTCATCACATCCTGCTTGTCGAGCCAGAAAATACGACCTGGGCTTGACGTCAAACTCTGGGATTCAACTTTAGCATCATTTCTGCATTCCGGAAGGGTCTTGTTTCTATTTTGTCCCGATAACAATGGACAAGTCGCTGCATTATTTGCAGACATCAGCAAGCTGGGAAGATCTTCCATAGGCGTTTCTGTGGTCCAACCCCAAAGATGATGCAGATTCCTATGTCTCTTCAACTCCCTCTCCCACTGCCCAAAGCAAGGCCCTGGCAGCCGCGGTGATAGATCCTCAATATGTACTCGACGATGAAGAACATCAGAAGCATCTGAGACACAAGAGGCAATGGCAAAACCCTCTAAAGCATGGTCGTTAGGACATTTTGAACCCAAAATCATATATATAATACGCAACTTTAGTCCCATGGCTGTTTTATATTGGGGTTAAAACGGTTTACCCCCACAACATGAGGAGCTAAGCTGCACACAGTTCGCTCAGGGTATGGTACTGGTTCATGGTGGGGATTTGCACCACGGGTGTTTGGGCTGGCCGTAGGCCTTGGGAAGGAAAACAACTGACCATCCAACCATATCCAGTGCACCTTCCTTGACGCTTACAAACTCGGGTTATTTCACACTTCGCTATGGAACATCAGCATTTTTCATTATAAATAAATAAATAAATAACATGTATATTATCATCTATAAATGGGCCATATATGGGCCATCTATACCATAGCTGCCATAGCCAAGCACTCACCAGAGGTACCAGTTCTCGGCGCCTCATCCAACACTTGACAGACCTGATGAGTTGGCCCCACCGTGGCCACCTGCCAGGAACCGTTGGAACCAGGGGGTAAATCTACTGTGTCGCTGGGATAATCTGGGATTATCAATCATATTCAATCATCTTTTCCTAATTCTTAATACCAAAATGAATTTCATGGACTGAAAAATCAAGAAAACATGTGATGCTATCAATGTGGATTCAAGCAACAAAAAAAGATATAGCAAAGACATGAACCAGCTGCCATCGCCTCGGCTGGCGAATTTACGCCGCTGATTAAGAGGGTCCGTTGCTGGTGATGTCTTCCCCGTGGCAAGTACAGTCTAGGAAAAACAGAGGACAGTCCCAGAAATGGTCGAATTGCTCCACTTTCAGCCAAGTTTCCCAGAGGATAGAACATCCTGCCTTCCTACCCTGGGAAAACACCTAAAAACGCCCAACATGCCATATGCTGTTTTGGGGTACTGTAAGCTTGTATCATGTCCAATGAAAATCATCGGAAAACAAATCATTGCACCATACACACTATATCCCGTATGAAAATACACAACCCTATAAATGTACATATGTATCATGTAAGTAACATCACATATAACAAAAACCATACAAACACCCTGACATCACATATCAAGTATATCAAGTATATCAAGTATATCAAGTATATCAAGTATATCAAGTATATCAAGTATATCAAGTATATCAAGTATATCAAGTATATCAAGTACATCAAGTATATCAAGTACATCAAGTATCATGATAAATTATGTGTGAACAATTTTACCCTTGTTCGAGGCTGTTGTTTCGATTGATGCCTTGTGTGCGGGTAGTTCCGGACTCACTCTTTCATGGCACGCGGCGAAACACTCTTTTACCTTCGCAATGGGGTCTTGAGCCATAATGGCGTCCCATATACATGTGATTACACAGCGTTCGCTTTGACACCCCCCATGTCCGTGGCATTCTTCGAGCCACGAACACGAGAGAGGGAACTTTGAATTAGATTCATTCTGCTACTTGAATTACGCCTATACACATAAAACGTGCCATTCGGCTCCCCCTTCCCCACATACCCGTCGGGTATAATGGTTCAGGGTTCACCTACTCTTTGGCGGTCGATGCATTGGCGTTTCATCAAGCTGTACAACGCGAATTATTGCTAGCTAACACCTACTTTTCTACGTTGGCTAAGCTCACCACTCACCCGTCGGGAGAAATGGATCGCCTCGCTACCAAAGATTGACAGTGCTAACTAACTAATTCACGTGCACAATGCAGAACCTCGTGCAGATTGGGAATATCAAAAGTTCTGAACCTAAGCGAATTAGTCTAATGCCTCGCTCAGAGCCCACTCAGTTGGTCTTTTCCTGATCATCTGTTCACAAAGACGATACACATCTTATAGGCCAGTGATCATGAAGCAATTGTTTACTGCTCACGGCGGACTTTCTTCCATTGGGGTGCTGTTGGAGTTTTCTCCCATCCGGCCGCACGTTTTGGAGCAGCTTTCGGCGATGAAGGCCTTGCAGGCGGTGCCTTTGATGGTTCATGGGATTTTGGCATAGCTTTGGCTTTTGGTGCACTAGCCGATGAGGATGATGCCGAACCAGTACCTTCAGGTTTCTGTGAAGGTTGCGCGGGTGGTTTGGCAAACTTGGAAGCTGCAGTATGTCCAACCGCTTTGAACACTTCACTCACCACTTCGTCACCAAGGGTTGGAGCCATCTTCGTTTTCATTTCGGTCTTTCCCCTTTGCGCTTCAGCCTCAGCCAGCTGAATAGCATATGCCATCTTGCTGACAAAATTTTGTGGTAAAGGAATTCCACATTGTTGGGCTGCAAAGAGTAACTCGACTCTCTGTTCTTTCTCCCTTAGGCTCAGATAAACTGAGAAGGCTGGAAGTTCGATGCAGTCGGGGAAGCCGTGGCTCCCGGAACGAAAGAACGTGTACGACTCGTGCTCTGGGAACGTCCCTTTGAGAAGTCGCCGAAGGAAATTACTGATTGTCACTCGCATCTCCTGTTTCCCTTGGGCATCAGCCTGCATTCGGTTCATTGGCATGAGGAAGCCTAGTGATTCTGGAGTGTATCCGGCGCATACCAGAAATTCCATCATCTTCTCATAGATCTCCAAAGTCTTGATGACAGGCATCATCATGTTTCTGGGTCGTCCTGAATACAACTTCTCTCCTTCTGACCATGAATTCCTCTTCGCTTTCTCCTGAAAGAGTTCGTCCAACTCCAGCTCCGTCGGTCGCTTGAGGTTGCCATCCTGGTCTTCTCCTGTATAAGGGCAGAAGTCGTCCAGGTCCAGCCGGACTCGCTTGGTTTCCGTCATCATCACATGGTACTCCTCTGGGGTCATAGTGACTCTCTGTTTGTAGTAAAACCGGAACATCGTGATGATCTTTGACATGACTGCGTTGTCATACAAGTGAGCCGCGGCCTCGGAGACGTCATTGTTGATAAGTCCGTCTTCTGGCATACCCTTGCTGCCGCTCTCGAGGTTCTTGGTCCATGCTGGAAGTTTGGAAGAGGGTTCATCTTCAGGGTCGACGTCCATTTCATCGTCGTCTTCTTCAACGATTTCGTCGTCCTCCTGTTGAGCTTCCTCCTCCTGATCCATTTCCTCATCATCGCCTTCGTTGTAATCGACCTCATCAGGATTGAAGCCATAGTCGTTGGATTCGGACACATTCTCTTGTGCTTGATTGACCGTATCCTTGAACAATGACTCTTCTTGTCGACGAACTTCTTCATCGAGCTCTTTCTTCGAGGCCTCATCCTCATCATCTTCAGGAGCTTGTAACCGATATGGACGGATTCCACAACTTTCAAGTTCCGTCCAGCAAACTAGACAAACCGCTAGCTTTGTCGGCGTCTCATTGAGACAGTGAGGACAATGGCGGCAACCTGATGTCTGCACCCTTTTGCGTTCGACTATATAGTCAATCAGCTTGATGCGGGCCATGTATTGTTCTTGTCCACCAGGTTCGATGAGGTTGTTCTCAAATTTGTTGACGATGTTCATGGCATCCATGGCGGTTTCGTCAAACGGTTGGTCTTCGGCGTCGATGCACTGCCTTGCAACCCTCAAGATGGACTCTTTGGTGGCTACCGTTCTTGATTTGACCGTACCAGACCGAACTACCTGGTCGTCGCCCGACGGGACGAACAACCGGAGCCACGTCTTATTGTTTTGGTCCCTGGGGTCCTGAATCCATCCTCCTTTGATTGCCGAGAACGGGATGATCTTTGGTGAAACGATCTGTCCCGAGTCAGTCAGTCGACCGCCATATTCCACCATCAAGGTCTCGGTCGGGACGAACAAGCAAATGTAGTCCCCCCTTCGCGTATCAACGCTCTTCGTGATGGTCCAAGATCTGTGATCCCAAGGCACATACGGGTTGAAGAACGTGAACATCCGATGACCCTCTCCAAGACCTCCTGGAATTAATCCCTGCCTCCAAATACTTCGAAGGTTGGTCTTCTTGGTGATGTGGAAACAAACCGGTAACGATAAAATGGTGTTGGGCGCGATTGGATGTGAAAGTAGTGAGGACAGCAACGAGACGTCGTCCCTTGATGATCCTTCTTTGTGCCCCGTAGGAGCACGGACCGCTACAGGGTATAGCAGTAGACCTTCATCAGGGATGTTCGTGTCTGCATCAACCTTGTTGTCAATGCACGTCAGGCTTGTGCGCTCAATGTCCTTGTTGATGCCAAATGCCAAGACTTGTTCACGAACACGACGTCCGTACCGGGCACAGTGGAACATGATCTTGAAGAGCAATGTCATGCGGAAGTTTGCCTCTTTGAGATTCCATGCGCTTTGATCATTTGCCCTCCCTTTTGGGGCAAGGAACACATGTGGCCAGCGTGCGTAGTCGTGCCTCCAGATGGACTCGCATTTGAGCACGTCCTCGATGGGCACCCAGCCGGCATCATCACATGGCAGACTTTGTTGCTCTGATACTTTCCCCACGTTGTGCCGCAGGATCCTGTTTAGTGATGCACTCACTTTGTCCTCGTAGGTGTTGAGTCGGTTGCCAGTATCGAAGCGGTAGTTTGCTGCATATTCGACGCCGCCGAAATAGGAGCAATTGAAGAAATGTGCCCCCGTCGTTGGGATGATTTTCAAGAAACCATCTTGTGGCGCCTCAACTCTCTTGTAGAAGGGCTTCCTGATGTTGTTATCAGAATAGCTTGCCATGAATTCTGGCACAGACCACGAGTCGCCTCCTCCTCTGACAATAGCGTCTCGGATCACTTCGTTGAGGTCAACAATGTTCTGTGGTCCAAGCTTTGTGACATCACGTCCTTCTATGCAGAATCTACCATATTCATCGAGGTCACCAACTTCAGACATGGTTCTGATGCTGTCGTACCATTGGTGTTCGCTAAACCTCGATCTGGTGGGTTCCTCCGTCTGCCCCGACCCATCAGTAGCACCTGAACCGTCCTTCTTGTGCTCAGGAGGCTCCATATCGACGTCATCAGATGTTGGACTATCAGCCTCGAGCGACGCTCGGACGGCCTTTAGCACCTTTCTGACTTCATCTCTCTTCTCATGCTCACATTCAAGATGGCTGTGTTTGGTGCTACCACAATACAAACACACATTGACATCCTCGGAGACGGTGAAGATTTTTCCCAACGCATCCAAAAGTTGTTGCTTCCCGGAAATCTCTGAGTCCCTGACAACATCGGTTGGATCATTTGCTGGCTCATCAGCTTCCTCCTCCCCAGGGTGAGCCGACGACTCGTCACCTGGCTTGGCATCTGCATCAGTGCCCATGCTGGCATCATCCCCTGTGATGTTGTTCTTCTTCCGATAGTGGGTGAACACCTGGTCCTTCTCCCAGTCCGTAAGACAGCAGAAGTTAGCCAGTGAGTCGTATCCGGGGATTGCGTGGATGATCTTCATGACCCTTTCGGCTTCTGCAGTCTGCAGTGTGCAGTCGAAGGATCCCCGTCTCTTGTCATTGATGGTGCTTGAGGTTCTGGAGGTCGAAGTGAACTGCGCCAATGCCTTTTCCAATCCATTGAGATACTCGGCTGGATCGACACTGGCATTGAAAATGTCCACAACTCCCTTGGCCATATTTGCCACATCCAATACACCAAGCCAGAACTCGATGATGTCTCCAGTTTTCTCAGCAGATGCACGGGAGAATCCAAAGATCTCGTTCCTCTCCTTCACCTCGGGAACGGCAACCTTTTCGAAGAAATCTTTGTATGCGACGTTTCC